TGGACTCAGAATATGAGCACTCAGCTTATGAGACCAGTGACCCATAGCAGGAAGAGATTCAGGACAGGTCAAGAGGAAGCCCCTCTTCACAGAGTTACAGATCTCAGCGCCTCGAGATGTGGTGACAGCTGCAGCAGAAAATTCAAGTAGGGTCAGTCACTGGGTGCTTCATCGAGGCAGAGGAAATGGATGGTTCATAAACAAAGAAAAGAGAGGAAAATTTGCAACTGATAATTTATGTGTAGAGATGCAGATTTAGGAATAAGAATTATAATCCAAATAGCAGCACCAGATGCAAATTTAGGAATAAGAATGATAATCCAAATGGCAACACCGTGGGCCTTCCGATGGTGGGAAGATGCAGACCAGGAAAACGGCACGCTCATACTTTCTATGCTCCAGGAGCTAATGACTGAGTGGTCTTTCCCCTGAAACAAGACTTGGACTGGACTCCTTCAGAGCAGCCTTCAAAAGAACGCTCAGTTCTGCAAAATGGACGCATCTCAACCATGACCCTGAATTTCTGTCCCTTCCATGGCCAGCCAGGTGCCTCGGAGATAGTGGGGCTGCCAGGGCAGGTTTGGGGAGCAAACGCCTGGGGGGGGGGGCTGTAGGTGAAGGAGCAGGAAGCCCCCACATGCATCAGTCAGGCTGGTTTACCAGACAGGAAGTATAATCTGTCCTTGGGGGCAGTGCGGGGAGAGAGGTCTCTAGGACTGTTGCCAGAGAGTAAAATTACCCCATGGCATTGCTGGTCTGAGAAGGCCACCAAGAGCACCAGAAGCAAATCCATGCTCCCGCCTTGTTGCTCCACACCCACAAGTGCACGAGGAGCGTCTCTTGCCTCTGGCCGTGGGGGCAGCTTCTCCGTGATCTTCTCCATCTGCTTCTCAGCACCAGACACACACACACACACACACACACACACACACACACGGCCCGAGGCTCCCCTTGATGTCCCATTGTAAACGCTTTCAAGCTGAGCCCTTTGGCCGGGACGTGCACACCAAGCCATGCCGTTTCCTCACATTGTCCTGGCCAGAGACGGTGGAGGACAGGCTGAGCCACGAGGCGACGCACGTGGGGCTGCGCCACTTCTGCTCCGCTCTTCCTCCAAACGGCTCCAAGGAGAACGCTGGGTTTTCACGGATGTGGGCTCATGCTTCCCCGGGGAACCTTTTATTGTGCCACTGCATTGCTCATATGTGGAATTTTATGCGAGGGCCAGACCTCACCCTCTTCCATTTGTAAAAAGATCCCCGTGTTTCCCTCACTCTTCTTCCTGGAAAAAGAATCCATAGAGGAACAAAAGGCAGCCGAGCGGCATGATGCCTTCTGACTTCGGGCCAGGAACCCTCCATCTCTGGAGACGCCTCATGACGGGAGAGTCAGACTCGGATCCATCCGGTCTACTCCTCAAAAAAACTGAAAAGCAGGCCACACTAGCTTGTGTGCCTGGGGGGTTGATGGGCAACTTTTATTTTAAACCAGACCAGGCAAGCAGGCCAGACAATACACAGAAACAGAGCGAGTCAGAAGGGGTCTCCCGGGCCATCTAGTCTGACCCCCGGCTCCAGGCGGCTCCGCTCACGACATGCCCACCATACGTTCCAAGAGAGGACTGTTCTCTCCTCTGTAAAGAAGGCAGGTGGCAGTGCTAATTGCCTCTGGATGGCTCTGCTCAGCCAGTACGCACAGTGGCTGCTGCTGGAAGGACCCTCTGGAAAGCAGCCTTCTCTCCTTCCTTTTGCAAATTGGGTTCTGTTTATTGAAGTCTTTTGCAGAATGATTAACAGCTAATATTTGGAGGGCCGTCCCACAAATGGTAGAGTGGATTTGCCTTTGATTCGTCGTGAAGCAGACTTCCCCAGCCTGGCGCTTTCCAGGTGGTTTGGACGACAGCTCCCAGCTTTCCTGGCCCGTTGGCCATGCAGGCCGGGGTGAATGGGAGTTAAAGTCCAGAGTCTTTTGCAGTGAACCTGGCTGGGACAGGCAGCTCGAGAGAGAAACCAAACCAAACCAGCTGGTTCAAATGACAAGGATGGCCTGTTTTGCTCCAAATATTGGGAGGAATTGAGTGATAGGCAGAGTGGTTTGGTGGTGAAACAGGCTGTCCAGGAAGCTAGGGAGCTGCCCTTTGTTGGAAATGCTTAAGCGGAGGCTGTCCAAAGTGTGTACAAGCCAAGCTGGAGCTAAACTAGTTGAATGCCTCCAAATTCCATGCTGAGACTTGTTCCCTTCTTGTGTCCAGATGCGATTGCAAGATTTTTGCATGAAAATCCATGCCTATTTTTCTGTATGCACACATCTGTTGTGTCCATTTGTGAGATGCACGTATTCTTCTCCCATTGCTTAAGGTGCACACTTTTCACACACGTTTTTTTCTAATCCACCTGTGTGGTCAAATTTAAGCATGTCCACTGATCCCGTGACAAGCTCAGAAGTGTCCAACTGCAGGTGGAGTTTGAGACTGCGTTTTGCTTGGAGAGGTACAAACTGGGCTCAAAGCCGAACTGAAATGCATTTGCACTCTCCAGCATTAGCAGGGGACTGGCGTTCTCTCTAACCCTGAGAGACTAGCAGAAACAGGAGGAGTAAAGGGAGAAATACAAACTGAAGTGGAAATCGGTGATCCACCCACCTCACTAGGTCAAGCTGACTTCAATTCTGCAGAATATTAATGGGATGTTTAAAGGGTGAATGCCACCCCCTTTAAAAGCTGGTTGTCACCGTATCTCCATCAGCAAATCCCTTAAGTTAATGACGTGCTCTGGGAAGGAGAGCGTCCTTTTCCCAGGCTCCGAGTCCCAATATTATGGGAGAGGGAGAGACGGGAAGAAAAACACCCTGGCTAAGTATACTGCCGCTGCTCCAGTGCCAGGTGTGACCTCCTCTGCCAGGAGAGGCCAGGCTTCCCGCCTCTGTGTTCATTGCCCGGTCGAGTGCAGGCATGTGCGGGCTTCCACCGGATACGTGAGCAGCCCTTGCTCATCCATCGCCTTAGGGTGGCTGAAGACAGATGCAAGGGCGTGAACCTTGGTGGCTGGTAGTGCAAGGGAAGCCCCAGTCATGCTCGGCGCCAAAGGCTTTAACCACAGACAATTGCAGCAACACTGGATCAGCCACTGGTCTTGGCCCCCTCGTTCGTCAGCGGTGTGGTTATATGAACGAGAGACCCAGATGGCCGAGGGGTCGGCATGTTGGACTGAGACTCGGGGGGTCAGGGTTCTAGTCCCTCCTCAGCCATGAAGATCACGGGGCGGCTCACTGATTCCCAGCCTGACCTACCTTGCAGGGTTGTTGTGCAGAGAAAATGGAGGAGGAAGGTTCTGTAAGCCATGTTAGGGCACCTGCATGAAAAAGGTGGGAAATAAATGCATAGATGTTTTGCGGGAGGGGGGAGAAGAACGAACATGTACAGCTTCAGCTATCGGGTGGTCTTGAGATGCCATTTCAATTAATCATATTCCTACCTATAGCTATGTTTAACTTTGCCCTTTAAAAGCACTCGTGTTTTCAAGGAAGTTGTAAACTGCTGAAAGATGGTGGGAAGAAGCTGGCGTGGATGGAGGTACCAGGCAAAAGGGGGCCTTCACAAGCCAGGCTTGCCCCACAGAGCCTCTCCCAGCACTCAGGGGCACTGGGCAAGATGCCCCCACCCTGCTTCACCCATCCCACCCCAGAGACGCCTTAAAGAGGACAGATTAATCAGCGAGGGTGCAGCCCCATGCAAGTTTAGAGAGGGGGAAAGCCCTACAACGCCCCACATGCTGGGGCCTTATTTCCAGCTAGGCACTCCGAGATGGAGAAGGAGCTCAGCTTTGAGGGAAGGAAAGCAGCGGGCTGAGGCGCAGGCTCCGAAAAACGATCTCCTGGAGCTTGCTGCCTCCAGCACCATCATCCCCGCAACGATCAGGCTGCCTCCAGCTTGACTGCTGATGTCGCAGGAACAAGACACCCCAGGAGGGGACGTGTCCCTGAATTATTGAGTGGGATCAGCAGTTCTGCTGAGTGGAGAACTGTGTTTTTGCTGCCTCGGCGCTCTGCAGCAACCTTTCAAAGACCAATCCCTTTTTCCAGGGAGATTCTCAGTGGCTGTGGGGGTGCTGCTAGGCCATCGCTGGAGGGGTCACTGAACACACCGAGCCTGGATCTGCCCCTGAGGTTTGCAAGGGGACAGGTTTCCATGCGAAGAGCAAGGAGCTGTTTTTGAAGTTTATTTCTCCATTTGGGGTCAATCCCATGCATGGCCAAGGTATGCAGGAACTTATAGGGTGTTTCTCACTAGGCATTGCACCCTAAGCATGCATATCATCGGTGCAGCCCACAGTTTTGCTCTCTAACTCCATCCCCCCCCCCCATTTTATCCCTACAACCACCCTGGGAGGTAGGTTAGGCTGAGAGAAAATTCCTGGCCCAAGATCACCCGGTGAGCTTCAAGGCTGGCTGTGGATTGAAACCATCTTCTCACTCACAACAACCCTGTGAGGAAGGACAGTCAGCCTGGACTTCCAAGCTCTCCCCAGTCCCGGAAGGCTTCTTTGAGGACCATTACGCACTGGCTAGGAAGATAATTGACTGGATGCAAACATCCATCACTTGATGGATGGTTATATTCCTGCTACTCCAAAGTGTTGTGGTCACAGACTCCAAGCTCTGGTGGGGGGGGGGGGCACCAAAGCCGGCCAGCAGCCACCAGGGCCTCCTTGGTCACTGCCTCTCTGCCACCATGGGGAAGCCACGACAGGGAAGAAGGAGAGCTGGCTTGCTGGAGGCAGGTGTTGCTGGAGATTCTCGCCCATGCGCCCCCGGACTCTGGAGCCGGCCCAGTTGATCAGGAATTTGCTACGAGACCATCTTTCCTGCCAAACCGGGCAAGGCTTTGCGCTCCTTCTTGTTGCAATTCATTCGGATCCGTGCCGTTCGCAGTGCGAACTTCTGACCGGGCGAGCGAGAAGAGAAAGCCGTTGCCCTGAGCACTGTCGCTCTTTCTTTTGCAGAAGGGAAGCACTGGTGTTACCTGTCGCAGAAGTGCCACGACCCCCACTGCCAAGGTAATCCGACGCGCGGAACACGCGGCGTGTGCAACTCCCGGTGCACTCGGCCACACTCGGTCTGTGTGGGGTCGACATGGGGGTCGCTGTGCCCTTGAGCGAATCCCTGGGGACGAACGAAGGCCGCTCGGGGCTATACAGGGACATTGAGAGTGTGTGGAAGTAGGAACCCAGGGGTTCTGTGTGTGACTGCACAAAGAGAATCCATTCAGGGGAACACCGGCAGAGGCGGCGGCATGAAATGCGCCACGCAAACCAAGTGCTTTCGTTGTCCACCTGACCCTCCCTTCCCTCTGCAAATGCTGCTTGATCCAGAAAGGTCTGTGCTGTGTGAACCATTTTTAATCGCCCTGGCAGGCAGCTCCTGGCCAGAGGTCTCCAGAAGGGCAGGTGGGGCTCCGAGGGCGTTCTCCTGCCTCAGCTCGTGTGGGATCGTGTCCTCTGTCCTGTGCCCTCCACAGAACCGCGCCAGTGGGACCAGATGTACGAGGCGTGCAGCGGGAGCGGACAGTCTCCGATCAACATCCTCACCCGCAAAGTGCAGCACGACTGGACGCTCCAGCCCCTCCGTTTCCGCGAATACAGCACCAGGCCGGACAGCAAGTGGAGCGTGGAAAACAACGGCCACACGGGTGAGACGCAGCGATCGTCGCTAGCTGCCTGTTTTCCATGTTTTGGGGTTGAAAGAATCTCTCTGCAGCAAGAGGCGGGCTGGGCTTGGCTTTGCGACCGTCTGCGCGGCCGTCTTCTCGCTCGACTCTGCTCAATAGAACAACTTGTTAAACGTCACTGCTCAACAGAGGGCAGCATTTCCGTCCATTAAGGAGTGCGTTTTGCTCGCTGGTGCATCCTTTGCTCTCTGCTGCGCGCTGGCCTGTGCACAGCACTGCTTTTGCGCGCAAGGAGAGCGAGCTGTCGGCTGAAGTTTGCAGGAGTCTGAAATACGAGCTTTAGGATAGGCTTTGTGGGGAGGGCTCCCCAACTGGTCCGAGGAGCTGAGAAGCTCCAGAATGCTGAGCGGTTTTTGGTGGGTGGGGTGACCAGGATGAAGTCGCGGGCACGGCAGGAGTGCTCCGTGCTGCAGCATTTTGCTGCAGGTCTCCCTGGCTGACGGGATGATTCAATGACATCCTGCATTTCTAGGATCCTTCCTAGGAGGCAAGCTTCAAAAGGAGGCTGCAGATGAGGTGTAACGCAGTGGAGGAGAGACGGAAGTGAGGCGTTTCTGGTTTACGTTTCACCTCTGACACAAACTTGCTCCTTCGGGCTCAGCTAAGGATTAGATTTGGCACACGACATGTTGTTCTAGGTTTTTGTTTGTTGATCTTAAACCTGGAATTCGTCTTTGTTCTTAGTTTATAGCAGGGGCAGGTCTACATCCAGAGCTCAGGTCCACAGAACATAAATAAACGATTAAATAATGAAATGAGTCCGCACACGCTCATCTGCGTATCCTCTAAAGTCTCTCCGTGTGCTCTCCAGGAGCTTCCCTCCAAAGGACAGTCCGGTTTCTAAAAAAAGATGCGTTGACTTCAAAAAAGAAATCTCAGGCAGGAAGAGGGCAGCAGGAGGCGAAGCACATGGGGGCAGAAAGCCAGCGCATCCAGGTGGATCTGGGGTACCTGAGGCTTCCGGGGCCGCTTGACCTTGTTTCAGCCCATGGAAAACAGGGCACGCAACAGGTGCCCCGAGAGGTTCAGGTTTCCGCAGGAAAGATCTGGGGCTCCAGGCCTGGTGGGCTGGCCCCTAACACCACCTCCGCTTTTTAGTGATATATCCAGCAGTCCATTAATCAACTGCGTTTGCATAATCTTTGCAAACAGAGGTATGTCAGAGGAGGATCGTTGGTTGCCAGATTACCTGCTCATTATGGCGAACGCTACCCGTTTAGGAAAGGATTTTAAACATTTGGGTTATTTCAGGGGGTGATGGAGGAGAGAATGGAGCGCACACAGTCTGTCTTCCCCTTCCCGTGTGTCGCCCCCTTGTCGACACTGAATGAAGATTCAGCTGACACAGTTCAGTGAGCTTTTGTATGGGGGGGGGGCACCATCGGGTGCTTTGCCTAAGGCACCAAAATGTTTGGGTTTGCCCTGGTAGGTAGGTTTGGGCAAGCGACTTTGAGTCTCACCTGTGTGTCTTCTGGGAAATGAAGGCTCTCTGACCAGCTCTGCTCACCATACTAGCCCTTTTTGAAATGGGCAAGGCTGCCCACCCCATGCCAGCCATTTTGTGAGAGCGCCCACGGCACTCTCAACATTTCAAGCATGCCTCCCCCAACCCAGCAAGGCTGGGGATCCCTAGTTTATCCACCTGGGACACTGCAAAGGGGTGGGGGACAAGCCCACAACTAACCCCGCCTCTCGAATTGCTTTGCTCCCCTAGTCCAGGTGAACCTGAAAGGATCGGCAGCGACGATAGAATCGGGGGGGCTCTCGGGGAGCTACAAGGCCGTGCAGTTTCACTTCCACTGGGGGAACGGCGACGGAGCCAAGTCGACAAGTCCTGGATCGGAGCACAGCATCGACGGGGAGCGCTATGCCATGGAGGTAGAAGCACGCCAGAATTGGCAGTGCAGCCTCCGTGCTGTTTCTGACCCTGATTCAGTGGTCTTCCTGGGAGGAGGGGGGCTTTCGGGAGCTCTGTGCCTTACTTCAGTTACAAACCACACAGCCAATTTTTCTCTTTGCCTCCACCAACCAACACTTCGTGTTTCGCGACTGCTTCTACGTTTCTGAAACTAGAACTGTCACAAAACCTTTTTCCAGAGTACCAAGGAGTTTTCCCTCCCTCCGTCCTTCTCTTACAGCTTCATATCGTCCACATCAAGGAAGAGTTTCCCACCATTGAAGCAGCGCTTGCCAATAAGGGCATCGCAGTGCTGGGATTCTTCATAGAGGTACGGAAAGGATTGGGCTTCGTTCGAATCAGGGGTCTTAAAATCAGGGAAGTGCCAAGGAGCTGGGCCTGGGCTGTGGGTGGGACTAGTTGGAGCTGCTCCCTGCCCTGTGCGTCATGCTGGGGCGTGCTGGCAAAATGAATCGCCACCAAACGAGTGGAAGTGCCTGGAGTCCCCTCGAACTAGAATCGTTAAGGGTGGTTTGCACAAAGCATTTCAGGCAGTGCAGGGCCACGACACCTTATATATGCCCCGTCCATCCCCGAGACCTTCTGAGTAGGCCCAGCTGGTCTCTCCCTGACCAAGAAAGCATTGCCAAATAAGTGCACGTTGCTGGGCCTTCTTGGCAGTGGCACCCAACTTTGGGAAACCCCTCCCTCATCTTAGCCACGAGCCAGCAAGTGTGTGGGACTTCAGTAAACGCCTTGGGAAGACATGCCTTGTTTCCCCGACTTAAGCCACGGCTGTTTTCATTGTCACCGAACCGTGGACTGTTGTGCGGTATGAACCCAGCTCTGCCGACAAACCATGGATTGTTAACTGCCAGCCACCCGTAGAAAGAATCCGTGCATTTGGAACTCAGGGAGGTCTGTGGCAAACAACAGGGGAGCTCTCATGTTGCTTTCAGACGACATGAGGACTCACTTTGCGCATGGCTCAGTGACCACCTGCACGCAACCCTTGATGGCGTCGCCCGATCCCAGTCACGTGCAAACTGCCAGAGACTTTTGGGCTTTGAAGCCTTCTGGAAGTATTATAATAGCAGAGAAAGTAGCAAACATGGTGCATGCTTTAGATCGGGGAAAAAGCAGGCCCTACGGGGTTGTGGGGGGGCAAGGGCCCGACTTAGTGCGTCTCTCTGGCAGTCTGAACAGGAGTGAGAGGGCAGTCACACTCAGAACTGTTTTTGTCTGCTCCAGGCTGGCCAGCACAACAAGAACTATGAGCAATTCATTGCAAAGCTATCCGAAGTCAGCTTCCCAGGTAAGGAGCCGGAGCTGAATGTCAACCCCGGCATTTCACGACAAAATGCAAAAACGCCATTGCTTTGGGGTGGAAGAAGGAACGGGGTGGGGGACCCTCCGCACCTCCACATTCCTGCCCCTGGAATGTGGCCCCAGGGATCATCTTCAAAAGGGAATTTGGCCCTTGGGTTGCAAGAGGTTCCCCACAGCAGGACTGGCTGGTCTGCTGTAGCAGAACTCTTTTCGGGGCCTTGACATTCTGAAACGTTCCCAGAAACGTTGCCCAGATATGCCCACACAGCTTCTGCTGATCGTTGCCAGAGCCATTAATTACCAACCTGACGGACCATGAGACCAACAAAATTCTCTTTAGGAAATAAAACGGAAATGTCCGCCTTGTGCCTGGATTCCTTAATACCGAACATTGAGGACCTCGGCAGTTTCTATCGCTACACCGGCTCCCTGACCACACCTGGATGCAATGAGGACGTCGTCTGGACCCTGTTTGAGAAGCCCATTCAGCTTGGGCTGGACCAGGTGAGCCACAGCGGGGCCTGCTGCAGGGCGGGAGCAACTCAGAACAGCCAGGCAGCTGGTGACACATCACCCTGAGCTCCTCAGGCAGGGCTGTTCTCCCATCAACTCACACGTTCCTGGAAGCATTTCCTAATGAAGCAATCGCTTCATCCGCTCTGTATAAATATTCGCACAGTGCACTTCACTTCAGTCTAGGGTTCCCAAGTTAACTCTAATGCACTTCCTTGAGAGATCCAACCCAGATTTTTGATTATGCCAGTAAGCAGTTTGCTGTGACATTTCGTTTTGACACAGTGACTTGGTTTGGTTTTTAATTCAGGCCCATGGACAAAAAAGTCTAGGCAGAGGAGAAATCTGAGACGAGTAAGGCTTTAGCCATTGATAGTTGAGATTCCAGAAAGAAAAGTGTATGAGGAAGAGTCTGGTGACCTCCCCCCAGTTTGACCTTTTGTCCTTTAGTTCGATCCTGTCAGACTAGGGCTGTGATAGGTGGAAAGCCAACCTGTTTCCTTGATGGTTTGCAGATCCAAGCATTCTGGCTGCGGCTGTATTTTGGTGGAACCAAAGACCACTGGATGGTGGATAATTTCCGACCCGTTCAGCCTGTAGGGGACCGGATCGTCCGCAAGTCAGATGCAAACACCCCTTCGCTTCCAGCCAAAGTCTTGCTGCTGTTGCCCTCTGCCGTGTACCTCGTCCTCTGCCTCATCCAGTGATCGCTTTCTGAAACGCCCCTAATTATTGCGGCCCCAGGCATGGTAATACGTGGCTCGTGTACAACAGACGCTCCCCGCTATGGGAAGGGGCTTGGCTGACCAAAAGGACCTATAACGGATCTGTTCAGAGTGGCTTTTGGGCAGTGGGGTGTCCCATGCCAAGGACCCCCAATTTCCCTAGGCGGCGGCAGCTGCATCCACAAAGACAGCTGAGCAGAGAGCCAAAACAAAACACAGAGCATACTCCAAATCAAATTCTTGCATGAACTTGCTAGCTAGCAATGAATGAATGCAGAGACCCCTGACTGGCTGTGCGGGGGATACCATATTCCCCGTTATGGGTCCTTCCCATCAGCCCTCCCCGACCCCGTGCTCTCCAGCTGTGTTGGACCTCAACCCCACTGCCCCTAGTCGCACTGGCTCTGCTTTAGACGCAGGGATCTGGCCCTATTCCACCTCCCTTCCCGGCACCGAGTCTTTCAGGAAACAGGCCGTGCCTCCTTTTCTAATATTATCACAGAAGTGGCACTTCAACTGCAGCTGGGAGAAAACACACACGGTGCGAACGCGTGCTTTTATCGAGGCGACCCATTACCTGGGTAGGTACCTTGCCAGAGTAGAACTTGTCGACAGAAGGGCGACACTTAGGAAAGCAAAGTCCGGATTTCTGGATTTTTCTCTCCAAGTGTACATGATTCTGCAGGGGAGATGACGCTATCGTGCCTTCTCCCACAACTGCGCTATGCCCTGCCAATCATATCAAATTATTTTTCACAAGTTGTGCGCCACAGCCTGAAGTTTGCCTAGCTGGAAGGAGGACCAGACCAGGGCAGCAGGGGGATTTGCAGAAAGGCTGAGGGAGCAGGAGGGGAAAGCCAGCCTGGCTTTCCCCCTTCCCTCCACATGGGGGAGCCTGCATCTGCAGCAGCTCCCCCAAGTGGCTAGCCCTTGAATTGCAGGCTGGAGAACCTTCTAGGTCTACTCTGACTCCGCCCACCCAGGCTGACATTGGGATCTCCAGGTTTGAGGACTTCCTTGTTCCAGGAGGGTCTTGGTCAAGCTGGGTCAAAGTCTCTTTGGATGCTGGCCCACTCCTGCATCTCTGGTTGCTTTCCAGGGGTCTCCTTGCTCGCCTTACATTGCTGAGCAATGCCAAAAGAGAGTCAGCTGAGACAATGCATTCTTTTTGCTTTTTTAAGGATCCACTTGTATTTGAGTATGACTTCAAAGATTTCACAGCTGATTGAAATTCCCCAAAGCAGGCCTTGCATTCAACGTGTCACCAAGCCTGGGCACCGTCCTGTTGTGTGGCCAGGGGCTGACGGCTGAGCACTTCAGGCAGGTTCAGGCACCACCAGCCTCTGAAGGGCGCGGCGTCCCTGGAGTGCTGAGGGGGCGAAGTGCCCCTGCTGAAACGTCATTTTCCTTTGGGGGATTGAAATGCTTTCCTTCTTGTAGTTCCAGGCGACTAATCTCCCATCGTGCCCACTGGCTATGTGAGCTAGATTATGGGAGTTGTAGTCCAACCCACTGGGAGGGCGAGGGTGCTGTAGCCCTCCACATTCATGGCTCACAGAAGCTTTATGAGTAAAGCTTCCAGCCCTGAGTCTGGAAGGAGTTGCACTGAAAAAGGTATGTGTTGGAGCCGAACTTCGAACAACCCAGTGAAATCAACAGGCATTTAGTCATGACAAATGTCTGTCCCGTTTGTTTCAATGGGTCTATTCTAAGCCTCGGTTTTTCTCCCACCCAGCGGGAGTGTCTTTAATCTTAATTACAGTGTACTTGGATCAATTGGGATGTGCCTTTCAAATCAATTGGCAGGTTCTTAATTCATCCAGCTAACGGACTTTCAAGGCACCCTCCCCTTCTCTCGATTATGGCCTTGTTCTGCTCCTGCAACGCAATGCTTGCTTTTTACCGGGATAATCTGAGACAAACTTTAGTTACTGCAAATAAGCTCAAGGTGACCTCACAGCAATGCCGTGAGATGCTTGGCGGTCATCAGTGGCCCGTCGCGATTCAAAATTAGGGCTCTGAGTAGTACACCAGGAAAATGGATATTTGGGGGGCTCATGGTTGCCGATGCGATGGGACAATTCTGTATGCAATGATCTTTAAAGCTAAGGCACTGGCTGAGGCTTCTCTACAGCTTTAAAAGCAAAGCAGGCCAACTTGTTTTCCCCTTACTTGCACTGAAAGGAATAGCCAAAAGCTTCAAAGAAATGCCAAAAATTGCGAGAGAGAGAAAGAAGATAAGAAATATATTTCTATACTCAAGGTGAATACACAAACATTATATCTGTATTTTTATATTATTTAAGGACATTTGGTTTGGGCTGAAGAATCAAAGAAATAAAAGATTGCAACAGAATGGGGTAGACTGAATTACTTGCTTCACACTCCTGTTCACACTTCAGGCATCCACTATTTGATTTTATTTTATTTTGCCAAACAAGCCTGTGACAAGTCTAAAGAGATGCTAAACAAGAAACCCTATCTCCCTTGCCCCCTCCCCCGTACCCTTGCCACTGACAATTTTTTTTAGCCTGACAAACATTTGAGAAGTTTGCATTTCAATAGAATATTTGCACAAAACACACACCTTTAAATTGTTCAGGTTTTTTGAGCCCAGAACCAGGTCTCAGGATCGGGGAAGTACAAAAAGCCAGTGGATGACCCAGTGCCAATCTCTGTGCTTTTTTCCCGCATCCTCACAGCAGTGCAAGGTACCATGAATCACAAGGCAGCTTACAGGTTTCTCCTTTCCATTATAACTGGACAACAACCACCCTGCGAGGTGGGTCAGGCTGAGAGTCCGTGATGGCCCCAGAGTCGCCCAGTGACTTCATGGCCGAGCGGCCACTCGATCTCCCGAGTCCTCGTCCAGCACGGCAGCCGCTGTGCAAGGCCGGCTCTCCTTTCTAAAGCATCCTCTTAAAGGGCTTTGAGCGGGTTCAGACGACCGCGAGGAAGAAACAGCCACGACGGCTGCTTCGTTTCCCCACACACTGGTTGTCCGCTCTGTGATTTGTCTAATGATGCTCACACCACATGGCTTCCCTGCGTCATCCGAACCCGGTGTGCACCGGGGTAGGAGGGGAACTCAAACTCTGATTTCTGGGGTGGTCTAAGAGCTACCCCACTACACACACCCCTCACCAGATTTGGATGACATGGGAAACTGTGTGCGATGAAGGTTATTAGCTGCCTCTCCCCAGCAAGGACCAGTTTGGTGCTAGACTCAGTCTGGCCAGAGCTGGGCCTCTGGGACCCGGCTGCCTGGCCAGGGAAGGGGCGCGTCCAGATGGCCTGCAGATGAGCGTCCGGCCCGCAAGAAACCGCGACATTCGGTTGCTCCACTGCCCCCCAGACGCTGTTGCTGGGCACTCCAATTACAGGGTTCTCTCCAGGCCCAATCATTTAAACCAAAGTGACCGTGGAAGAAACAATTAAAACGGCTTCTGTTGTTTCCCTCTCCTTTGGAAAAGCACTTAGGATAAAACCTCTCCACGTTTCCTGTTATTCATGTCATTTCATCCGGTTTTATATTAATTTATGCCATTGTTTTAGAAAGTGTTTTAATTATCTGTTGTTAGCTGCCTAGAGATGCCATGGTGAAATAGGTGGCATGTAACTGTTTAAATAAATGCACCATGTGTTGCTGGGAAATGCGGTGTGGATACGAGCTCCCGCGATGGCACTTCAAGAAGCCGTTTATCGTTCAGATGCCCCTTCCTCGGCCCGTTAACTGGTGATGCATAGCAAGCGCGCGGATGAAGGGAGGCTGCGCTATTTTGCAGGCACTCCTGCAAAACTGCGTAGCTGACGTGGAACCGGTCGGGGTCCCCGGCCCTGCCGATGACCCCAGTGGCCTGCGGGTCGGAGAGCCAGTGTGGTGTAGTGGTTAAGAGCATGGGACTGGGATTCAGACAACCTGGGTTCGAGTCCCCGCTCAGCCATGGAGCCAACTAGGTGACTTTGGGCCGGTCGCAGACTCTCAGCCCAACCTACCTCACAGGGTTGTTGTTGTGGGGATAAGATGGAGGAGGAGATGTAAGTTGCCTTGAGCCCTTTGCAGGAAAAAGGCAGGATATAAATAAATGTGTGGTGGTGTGGTGGTGGAAGTGCCAGGGCAGCTTCCCGTGAGCTCACCCAGCGGGTGGCACTTTGCTTTGAAGCACGGCAGGCTCCCGCTTACCCACAGAACGTGAAGTGGAAGGCAGAGAAGGGCGGTAGGTGCCGAAAGTGAGCGCCACAGGAACGCCCAAGAGCAGCTCTGCAAGATCAGAACCGACTGCTGCCGATTCTCCGAGCACCTGAAGGCCTCCGAGCGAGGCCTTGAACTCGCATCTCCCACTTCCCGGTCTGACATTCAAACTGCTCCGTCATACTGACTCTCCGGTTCCTCCGCAACCTTTCTCCTACTCCTTGTAAAAGTATTTTTAACCCGGCATTCACCTGTGACTTCTGCACGTGCCCCTTGTGAGGCAGTTTCTCCAGGTTCTGGGTGCACTTCTGCAACCCCTGGAATGCCCCCGAACCTATTGATGCATGCAGCTGCTGACATTTTGGCTATGTAAGCGCTGGCGTTCAGTCCGTGAACGTCGGAAGACAAGGGAGTGGTCTTGCAGAAGTTGTGGAACGACTGCGCAGGTTAAGAACAGCCAGAAGGGCCCCTCGCAATTCCCATCTGAATACGCCTCCTGAAGGGACCCAATCCCCTCGAAATGGGGGCTTCCTCAGGACAGGCGGACCAACAACGTGCAACCCAAGAGGACTGGCCCGTGCCCAGCAGAGGCCCCCGCTGGTGACGCTGGACCCGTGCCTTTCTCCCCACAAGGCGACAAACATGCACGAGCTTCTCTGCAGAAAGTATGTTTAGACTCGGCCTTAAGGATACAGGTTTGCTGTTTATTTTATCAGAAATAAACTTCCTCTTCTCGGCCATTCAAATGGCGCCAATTTGGGCCTTCGGAGTTTAGGTTGGCCTCATCCCCTGTGGGCGTTTCCCCTGAAGAACTTCCACATTCATATACAAGTCGAAACAAAAGGATTCCGACATCTCTCCGTGCAGCCAATTTTGTGAAAAATGGTACAACCGTGAATGCATGCTTCCAAACCCAAGGAGGAAAGATAGCCTGTCACACACACACAGGAATGGCCTTCCAGCAAGTTGGACTCAACGCCTGTTGTGCCAAGGGCCGTCTGTCCCGAACCACAAACCTCCACACGGGTCCATTTACCCATAGTTGCGACCTCAGATGCTACACCACAAACCCTTTCTGCGTTTGATACAGATCTACCTGCCCAACGAGGCCTTGACTTCAGTTTTCAGGGCAAATGGAAATGTTTCTCCCACTACAGGCTGCAACTCAACCCCAAAGAGCAAGACATGAAAGAACATTTCCTTTAATAGTGGGATATAAAATCTGCCCAAGGTTTAATGACTACAGGTTTATTGTAGATGTTTCAAAGCTTTATGGGCAGCATATTTCAAAATGTTACGTTATGCTATCTCACTCCCGAGTACCCAAAGAGGTACAGAATGCAGGCATGGATGTTGCAACAGGCATACGGCATTTAAGGACATGATCCTGTGCATGTTTTGAGAAAGGAAGTCCTGCAGCTCCCCAAATTCCCTAACCTGCCAAAAAAACGCCAGCAGCCATGTGCTTAGGCTGGTGCATCGGGGAGCCTGAGGTTTGAGTCCCTGCTCAGCCATGAAACTCACTTTGGGCCAGTTAGGGACCTCAGTCTAACCTACCTCACAGGGTTGTTGTGAGAATAAAATAAAGTCGAAGAGGCTGGGGGTAAGCTGCCTTGGGGTCTGTGCACGATGAAGGCGGGATATAACTATAATTAATAAAATAGATGAACAAAAAAATCACATCTTGTTTTCTCAGACCTTTCCTGTCCACTCTCTCTCTCTCCCACACACAATCGCCTTGTGACGCTTTTGAACATGTGAGTTGATAAGAGTTTGCCTTCTTTCTGATTCCTTGGTTGATGGTATTGGTGGGTGGGTTCATGAACATTTATGTATTATAATACTTATATGCTGCCGCATAGCCTGAAGGGCTCTGGGTGGCTTACAATGAAAACAGAGAGTGAAGATGCTTCTTGAGCAGAGGATAGGTTACCATTACGACTTGGCTTGAAATTTGACTATCTTTGACTATCGTGCTTCACATAATTGCTTTGGAGAAACACACGCTAAGTTTGACAGTAATGGACAGGACCTAACTCTTCATGATAAGAACTGCAGTAAAAGGAATGAGATTTTCTTTCCTTCCTGCAGCTTTCCATGTAATGTAATGTAATGCCTGTAATGCTTTAACTTAAGGCTTACCAACATCACGATGCCTGTGAGCACCCAAAACTAGTTGGACCATTCTAAAATCTTCAAAACGCTTGCTGTTTTTTTTATTACACAAACATGGACTTGTATTTCAAGCAACGATACAAAAGCTTCAACCGAAGTAGCCCAGATATCCATTTGCTTGCTACCTGACGCTCGTTCAGATATCAGAGAAACACAGCAAGTCAAAAGGGGCCTCCCGGGCCATCTAGTCTGACCTCTGGCACCAGCCGGCTCCGCTCACACTGGATTAAGGACCTTAAAACATATCAGAAGTGTTTTAAGGTCCTTAATCCAATGCACTTTAGAAAGTGGGGGGTTATCTATCCAGTTTGCAATATCAATCTCTTAATGGTCCAAATATGCAAATAATGCATTTCCCCCTCCCATTGGTTCATATCTATGAAACAGGTCGATACTTTAAAAGCGCACTAGTGAATAATAAAGGCTGTGCCAGAACAAAATTTGGTGTAACAACTTCTTGGTGTAACCGTCTCCTTCCCAAAAGAAGCAACTGCTGGACCTTGCTAAAATGTTTAAAGATCCATTAGCTGCCTTGCAATTAACAACAATTAACACCAACAATTCACCAAAGTAGATAATGCCCTATTAAAGAGACATTGCATTGTCCAATATGTACAAAACAAATGCTTTGCTAAATAAGACACGGACAAAAGTCTTCAGATAAGACAAGCATTCATCAATTTTGTAGGCTTTTTGCAGGGCTGTCCATGGCAGCTTCCCAAATACCCCAAAACACGTAGGGGCCAAAAAAGTGGCTGTAACTGTCACCACTCATGGGGTGCCGGCAGCATGAGACAAATGCAAGGAAATATTTAGGGCCCTCTTTCCTAGGGTGCCAGGCCTGTGGGTGTGGGGATGCCTTCAGTGGACTCCAACCCCCATCACTCCAGTCAGCTGGGCTGATGGGCAGTGTGGTCTGAGAAATCTGGAGGGGGGCAGATTTGGGAAGCTTTTCCAGGGATAATTTTTATTTAAAGTCCACAACATAGTGGCTCTCATTTTAGCATTTTTGTGCCTTTCTCTACCACCAAAATCTCTGTAAGCAAAGGGAGGAGAAAATAATTTTTAGAGGAAAGCTGACAATTCGGGGCGTATCAAAAATGCTTGGGTGGAGTTGCAATTTCCAGAGAGAACATACAACCTCAAAGGTTCCCAGGGACATGTTTCTTCAAACTCAACCCATTTAGGAGCTGAACTTATTTTCCTCACCAGGGACTAGCGTGCCAAAACCTCTCTCATTTCACAGGGCTGTTGGGAGGATGAAGCAAGCAGCGGGAAACCTACCTGGCCTACCACCCTGGCTCCTTTCAAGGAGGGCAGGATGAAGGAAAACTGAGAAGGGCACAATGACTCCCTATGGTGCCTACCTCACAGGGCTGTTGTTGAGGGTAAGATGGAGATGGGGAGGGGAATTCTGTAAGGCCCCTTGAAAGGAAAATGTGGGATAGAAATATAATTAATAAGTACATGAAACCAAAGGCGTCCACAGGATGCAATGCAACCCTTGCAAGGTGGCCGCAGCATCCGTTCTGCCTCTACCAGACAGGTCGGGTCACTCACCTAAGACTCCCACGACTTGGTCCAACTTCTCCGGCCCCACGAGGTTTCTCTGCGCCATTTAGGACTTCTTTTCCATGTCTTTCCTCCAGCGCCAAAACTGAGGCAGGACTCGGCCCCCTTCGAAGCCCTCGGGGGCCCTCGCGGGCCGAGATACCACCTGAGCAGGTGTAGCTCACCTGGCCGAGCGAGCAGTGCCGAGGTTGCCATTTTCACTGAACAACCCTGCAAGGGTGGCTGAGGGGGACCCGCCTGGCACGAGGCACGTGCCAAGGCCACCGTGGCTTGGAAACCGCTGCGGGCTCGTGCCAGCCTGGTGTGGGCTGGCCCAAGCGGCTTATGTTGGGGTTATAAGCCCCCCGACAGGCCGTGGCTTGTTTGGCCCACGTGAGCTTGTGTGCCCCCCAAAGCCACCTAAACCGCTCCTGAGCCGCGTGCCCAAAGGCCATGGAGGGGCCTTCGAGGCTGAGTGGAGCATTCGAATTCACGACTCCTCTCACAGCTCCCCTCGTTTGGCTTCATATATTAAAAAGCGTATTTTATAGCTTCACATATTTTATGACTCCCCACCAGGTGTGTTGGGAAGAACACCACACCCCTAGGCCTTGAACCCGCTTCCCCATGGGAAGAGAGGCTGCCTCCCTTGCGCGGCCACCATTTTCAAAATGGAGGCTGTCACGCCATGGGCCTGGTGTAGGCCGCAGCCTGAACAAGCCACTGTCGCTTTGCTGTGCATTGAACCCAGCCTTACTATTATACATTGTTTCAGGAATCCCCTGTGCATCGGAGGCACCAAGAGCCGAACGAACGATCGCTACCTACCTACCTACATGCCAGGCATCTCCACAGACACCTTCTGAGAGACCATTTTTTGAAATAGTTGTGCTACCACGGCAGCCATTTTGTGAGTGCCCACTGCGGTATTGCCATTCTGCCCCCCAGAATTATCACAGGGGATTCCTGAAATAATGCAAGCTATCGGATGATGCACGAACAACCAACCTCGCAGGCTTGTTGTGAAGAAATGATGTTACGAGGGGAGCAGCAAAGGTGCTGCCTGCTAGCTGGGAATGATGGAACATATAGTCCAGCGCACCTGGAAGGCGGTGGGCTGAAGAAGGCAAGTGTGCATTACACAATAGCTGCTATCCGAAGTGTGAGAGCTGATTAATCTTGGTCAGAGGTTTTGGGCTACAACTCCCATAATCCCCAGGCAGGGGATGGTGGGAGTTGGAGTGTAACACCTTTGGAGGTCCCCTGTTGGGAAATCCCATTAATAACCTGAAAGATGCAGCAGAGCTCATCTTGAAAAGGAATCTGCCCAGATCAAATACTTGGGATAAAATCATCCAAGAGGGGTATATTTTATAGGGGACAAAGTTGAGGTTATAAAGTCATTATTTCAGGCCAACTCAGTTGGAAAATAAAACAGGTCCTTGTCCAACAACTTTATCCATCATCATAAACATCTGAAATGATGTTCCTGCCATAAATCTTTGTCATCGGGGAAAGAGAAGTTACAGATAAGGAAAGAAAAAAAGGAAGGAAGGACAGACAGACAGACCCAATCTTGTCCCCAGCAAACCTTTGGCTGAAAAAATTTTGATGGCGGGGCAATGAGGCGCCCACCGTGCTTTTAAATCAAGGGAGGAAGAGTGCAATGCTAAACCCAAGAAATTAGCAGGAAAAAGCCACAATCCGGAGGCAGAATGCTTCAAAGATTGGACACACAAGACAGCTGTGTTTGTGACAGGTGCATATACCACATGGAACGAGCCCTCCTTCCATCACACACTGCAAATCAGGCATCTGTGCAACCGTGTGCCATAAACCCGTGAAAGCTACTTTTGTATTATTCGAAAGAAAAAATTGGGAAGGAGCCATTTGATCTTCTCGTGCATCTCATTTGCGACGGCCCTGTGGAAAAAAAGGCAGGCGGGATGCACCATGTGGCAGAAACGTCAGAGGAACTTCACAATTCAATGCTGCCACCAACAGGCCTTGCTACCGCCTGCCTCAGCGCCGTCTTTTCCCTGAGGAACGGTTCAGGAGCGGGCCAGATCCGTCGCTCGAATGCAGCCCTGCAACTGGGCACAGAGCTGAAATGGAAAGCGGGTGGGTGCAGGGGAACAGATGAACGGAATGGAGTCTCTCAGGGAAGGGTAAGGCTGACTGGCTGGCTGGCATCTTGTCCGGCAACACCAGTCCCTTCACGCAACTCACTTGATGGCTCAGCACTATGGAGCCGCAACGGCTGCTGTTCCGAAGGAGCCACAACAGCTGCTGTCACCATTTCCTATCAAACGTAACAGCAGAAACAACTCGCTCACTTTTTAGGAGCATGCTTCTCCAACCTGGTGCCCGCTCTCCTATGGATTTGACTATGATTCCTCTCGCCGCCGCCCAACATGCCTCTGTAGGTGCTGAATCAGAGAAGAAACATTATTTTTAAGTGCTGTCCGGGGAGGAATTGGCTAACACACCGGACTTGCATCCACAGTATTTAATTTGTCTGAATAATATAGTTACAGATAAACAGGTTCACTCCATATACAGTTACTTGGACTTTTTTATACAGGTCATATCCCAATACATTAATACTTTTTATTATTATTTACAAAGTACGTATTTACATGGTCTTTCTAAATTCAGTGCATTGTCAATAGTTTTTTTCTTTTTACAATAATTTACAAAGTGGATGTGGTTAAGAGTTAACTTAATAAAATTCCCACTAGGTTTAGGAATTAATTTAATTTGTTTCCTTTAAAAAATAATAATTACAACCAATGTAACAAAGCATGACAGATTAAAATGACATTAGTAGATCATGCTTACCTGCTGAAACCAACGAACAAAAGTAAAATCAACCCCTTTCAAAGGAAAAGGAAGCCGAAGCTGGGAAAGGGAGAGCTTGCAAGGGGATAGCGAGGCAAAGATCCTGAATCAAGAAAAACCACTTCTGTTTTGAAAGGGCTGGTTTTCTCCAACCTGATGCTGTAAGGAGAGTGCCTTGGGAGCAAAGTGTTATAGGAGGCCGCACCCCTGCCCGTGCCCTTAGTGGTGCTTCCGCTAAAGTGACTTCACAGGTCGCAAGGTTTGTACCAAGGGCCCCAATAAGCTCACCGCTTTGCAAAGCTTAGACCATGGTGGGAACAGCGTGGCTGCGGCACGACAGCCGATCGAAGGGGGCGATGGCTGGTGCCTGGAGGAGGGCCGAATCAGATGGCGAGAGCAGGGCGGGAGAACGCAGACCTGCCGGGAAGTGCTGTGCAAACCGGCCGAGGCAAAGACTTGGGACAGAAGGGTTAGGAAACAGCGCGATCTCCCACGCCCGCCAATGCCTGCACAAGTCCGCTAAACATTTCTCCTGAGCGCGTGTGTGGACGAACATTGGCTAGCAACCTTTCACGGAACCTAAAAAGCTTCATGGGGCTTTTTTAAAAGTTGCAGTAAAGAGTAAACCATGATGCTCATGCAAACATGGGGGCTGGAGAGCAGAACCTCCCTGGAGAAGCGAGCTGTTCTTGCTTTGGAAGGGAGTGAGGAGACACCCCGAAGACTGGTAAAATAAATAATGCGATTTTGGCGCGACTCCCTTTCAGGAGGACTCAGCTTGTGCCTGGCTCGGAGGGTCACCTGGGGCTCAGAGGATCGAGCGCTCTTCTTTAACAAGGTCCTCTAAGGAAATGTTCTAATATTAACCACAGAAGCAGCTGCCTTGACACGAAGGGTCTTTGCTTAACCGTCTCCTGGGCATGCTAGCTTTCATATCCAAGGGACGGTCTTTCTTAATCCTGCTATTACGGAAGCCCCCTCCGGTCTGCACTTGCATTCGGACATGGTCCAGGTCCAAACTCGCCCTTGCCAGTTCACTGAGGATTAGACCATCATTCCAGTTTTCTGAATAAAGCTTCACTTCATCATTTTCTGTTCATCTGGACACTTCAAATGACAGAGCTGCATGACCCCGTCACAAGCTCATGGGCGACCTCACGCAACACCCTCCTTTAGACCTGGTGTTTCACGAGAGCATGGGCCATTTCAGGGCCTAGAGGTCTTCCTTTGGAATGGGTTGCTCATGTGCACGGAAGGTCCTTTGGGCAGGCGTCTGTAGAAATTTAAGCACCCATCTCACAGGTCTTCCCGGGAATTCTGGTGCCCTCTCTTCTTCACCTGCTGCTCCAAACAGGTGTCCAAGAAGGCGGATGTGTGGCAAGCCCTGGCCACAAACCGACGTGGCCGGCGAGAGAGCCCCATGAGGGAGGTTGTTTTCTCTGTGTCGCACGATCGAGGCCTCCGTTCTAAGAGATGCACAGCAGTTTGCTTTTTGGGGAGTGGGCGGGCAGGAGGGGCAGGAAGGCAGATGTGTTGGCAGGTCTCACGCCCCATCCAGTCCACAATGTCTTTCCCGATACACCAAAGCGGATGAAAACAATACCCTCTCCGTTCCCCAAGTAACCACGACACTAAAATTAACGATGCTTGTCCTTTAAAAAAAAATTAAAGTGCAGCTTCAACGATCTCCAAGCAACGTGGGTCAAGACGGGGGAAGGAAGTTCAAATGCGAGGGGAGCGTTTGCTTTCGAAGGACATGTGCCGACGTGAGACTGGAGAATCTCTAAACGGGGGCAGGGAAATCGGACGTGGAGCGCAGCCTCAGCACTCCAGTCCACGCTTCGCCTCAGCTTTAACGGAAGCAAAGCATCATGCTGGCACGGCCCCTAAACCGGGGCGCTATCTCACCTAGGATTAGAAGGTGACACACTGCAAGCTTTGGGGGGGGGGGGGGGGGGGGCAGCTCGTCGCACAGACAGCCTGGTCCTCCCTCCCAGTGTTGCAGTTGTCATATCACGATCGCCAGCGTTATGGGCCTCCCCCAGATCGGATCTTTCCTGGAAGCCAGGAAATCAATTTTGCTCACAGGAGGGCGCCGTATGGCTCCCTCCACCTACAGATACTGCCCCCCACAAACCACGGACTGGGGGGGGGGTTGCAAAACGGCAAAAGGGAAACTTCCCAACCACGATGTCTGCATTTTTGTGAGCACAGGCTGCGTCTTCTGCACTTGCCTTGCCTTGCTGCTAAAATGGAATAAAACACAAGGAAAAAGGAGGTAGCGATTTCAAGTCGTCTACAGACAACACTACCGAGTCGTCTGAAACTGACCGAGCACATCAAAAAGCTTATTTCCTTCCCCACGTTTGCCTAAGAGCAAATTTGTAAAAGAAACCATTTTTAGAACTCTCTGGGACAGCTGTTACTGGGATGATTTGCAACTGACACTCATTTGGTCCCAGTTTGCTTCTACCAAACCAGTTTAAAGGCCAAACGCAAAAGAAAGAAATCCAGCCAGTGGGTGGTGTTTTCTTTCCGGGCAGGTACCAAGGTGTCTGAACAAAAACAATGCTACCTCATAACGCGAACTGCTGTTTAATTAGGGGTTCCTTCCTTCCTTCCTTCCTTCCTTCCTTCCTTCCTTCCTTCCTTCGATTTGTGCTTTCAGATCACGAGAGTAAAATAAAAAAAAATAAAAACCACTCAGCTAAAAGCCATCTCCTTTTTGTGCCAAACAAGAAATGCGTTTTGCGGCAATTCCCCCTCTCCGGAGAGTGGGTCCGTGAAGCCTCGCCCGAATTACTGCAGGACACAGTACTTCTTGTAATCCGACTCAAAGTCCTCGTCCATGCTGCTTGTGTCCGCCATGTTCTTGCCCTCAACCTTTGGCAGAAATTGTGCATAGTCCACCCCTTGCTGCTCGTAGAACAGGATGTAGGCCGAGTCGGTGTCGATTTCATCCGTATGCAATTCCTGCAAGAGCGAAGGAAGAGTTGCTATTTGTCCCAAAAAAACCCAGGCTTTTAACTGCAGGCTCACTGCCAAAGCAGCCCCCAAACTCTGGAGTGGCAGACACGTGTGGGATTCTGACGGACCATCAGCGGCACTCTCACAAAATGGCTGCCAAGCAGCGTGCCGTGCCCCTTCCCAAGACACGGCTGGTCAGAAAATACTCTCAGCCTGGAAGGAAAACTGCTGAGAGTAAAAGGACAGGTTTTCTTTTACTGCCTTAGCACAGAGTATACAGAACATAAAACCATGCTTTTGAAACACCCCTTGTATCAAAAATAAAAACTGGTTTCTAGATGGGTAGCTGCAGAAACTCACATAGCCCAAGTATCTCCCAAGATTCTGCCAGCCAAAGGGCACCTCGGAAGTGTTGATATCTAGCTGGGGGGACCTGCACGGCTCCGGAGCGCACCCTTCTGAGCCTGCCACGCTCCCGTCCTTTGGACCGTGGAAATTACAAGCAGAAGGGCTCGTTCGTCCCACGAGCTGCGCATCGAGCAGCAAGAAACCGGATGTATTGGCTGGCGCGCCTCACAACAGCCCCGCTCTCCTGGGGAAGGGGGAAGCTGTTTACCTTGCAGCTGCTGTCGTTGTAACAGTACCACTTGGCGTTTGGGTTTTTGGCATATGTGACGTAATGGCCTCCTCCCATAATTCCTGAATGGCACTGGAAGGAAAAGGCAGCTCATCAAGGTCGGCCCCAGAAACCAGGTGACCACCAGGCCAGAAATGCCGCGTGGCTTTCTTTAACTCCTGCCATTGAATACAATACACCTGCTTGCCCCAAGCAGGTGCCCTGGAAGTGTTGGAGTACAACTCCCAGCATCCCCTGGGGATCGGACTGTGAAAAACTGTTGTGAACTTGCTGTAATTTCTGCCCCATAGAAGGTAGCTTTCTACGCTTCCTTCAGGGTTTGGCACCTGATAGGCACTGTTCGGCTAAAGGGGCAACGCAGAATCCACCAGTTGGATCCCAGTCTGGATGAAGCCGGGTCAGTGCACAGGATATTCACCTGCTCGCCTGGCTTACCTCTTGAGCCCACCTGTTCTCTCACCCGTCTCCACCTTGGGCGGGCCCCCGAGACCCCGACATCGCTTCCCACCCTTCCTCAAAAGCCCCAGCCCAGACACCTCCCCCACCCAAGCTCGGTCAGCACACACGAGACCTACCGAAATTGCATAAAGGTTGTAAATAGGGTTAATGCAGATGTTTCCCCTTTGGTCTTCCACCGTCTCCTCCTCCTCGCGTCCGTCCAGGTGACCGTCCAGGCTGCCATTGCTGTGAGAGTTCTGCTTGCACAGATATCCGTTGGCCAGAGTCCCCTCTCCCTCTGGGGCAGCAAAGAGCTCACCCTGGCTGTTCCCCAAGGCAGGCCCCCGGCCCCCCGCCTCCCCTTGGTCGGGAGTGAGCTTTGGATCCGGGTCGCTGCCGTTCTCCCGGCTCATGTCCAAGTTCTCTTTGCTGCTTGACAGTTTGTTTTTACATAGCTGGGGGAGCCGGAGCCGCCCCTTGCTCCTTCCCAAAGTCCTGGGGCTACTGGTTGGACTGACATTTCTACCCGACGAACAGCCTGAAGTACACTTCCTCCCAGGAGAAGGGGACGCTGGAAAGAGAGAATGCGCATCAACAGCCGGGGCAGCTAACCCCACCTACCGCTCATAGTAAAACCTGGAAGTAAAACACCATTTCTTCTTATTCCACTTGGGCATCACTGCCCACCATTCCAACTGGTATTCAAGAAATAATATTTCAAGTTCTTCACTCACAAAAAATGCGGAAAAGAATTAAAATGATCAATGCAACAGAAAGCAAGCTGGCAGCCGAAAAGGTGCAAACAGAATGTGGCTTTCAGCTGCTGGCGGAAGGTCAGGGAAAGTGACGTCATGGGAGCCCCCTGCCCGGAATCCAACCCCTTCCCTCCGTCCCCGTCACCTGCACCTCAGAGGCAAATGGAGCAAACCTCCCATGGCACAAAAGGTTTGGCACCCCGGCGTTCACGCCCTGCTTCGGAGGGTTGGAGCAGCTTTAGATATGATCTTCAAAGCAGCCCTCTTAGGTAGGCCAGCACCTGCCGTAAGGCCAGCGGGCAGAGCAAGCACCTGGGCTGGCTAGCGAGATTGCGGCAAAGGGGAGTTGAACCAAGAGCTTTGCACCTGGTGCAGAAGCTGGACAGGTGGAGGGCCAGGAGCGGCCCAGCCCCGCCGTACGGCACGCAGGGCCTCATCAGCGCAGCCGGAAAGTCCTTGGCTTCTGCCCTCCTGCCCCTCTCTGCTGGTGCGCCAGAAGTGAACGGCGTGTCCATATATGACTCTGCCGCCGCTGTTAAGGCCGAGGAGCTGCCTTTTTGGTGGAACGGCCTTTTCCAACTCCTCCCTGGCCTGCGGCAACAGCCATGGCCTCCATCCACGCGAGGTCCCTCCCGGGAGCAAGAGGTGTGCTCTAACTGCCCCGATGCAGTGGGCAGCAGGGGAAGCAGCTGCTCCTTGCTGGGTGGAGCAAGACCAGAGCAAGGCCTCGTGCAGAAGGGCGACGGGCAGCCTCCTCCGAGAGTCCTCTGCCAGAGAACGGCCCTGGGGGGCAGGTGGGGCAGAATCCCCTGAGCACGCCCCATGTGGACCGGACGGCGGTCCCCAGCACGAACCAAGTGCCACAGGCAAGCCACCGGGGCACCAGCCCTGCATGGGGAAGACCCCGGGGCCATGCCCCAGCAGTCCCTCTGCCTCCCTCCCTACCTTTGATATTATTCAGGATGCCGGAAGCATTGAGGGAGGACGGGCTCCTGGTCAGTGCATCACCCTCGCCGGCTGCGGCCGCGCTCTGGGTCTCCGACCTCTTCCACTCCTCCGGCGGAGCCTGCGGCTCGGAAAGTTCCTCCGATGGGAGCCCCTGCGGCTTCGGTGGCCAGCAGCTTGGGTCTCTTGGCACCAGGAAGGCACTCGGGTCGAAACTTTCCCGGGGAAACTTGACGATTTTCTGGGACTTAATCCAGCGGCCGTTGACAAACTGGAAGCGCTTCAAGTGGATGATCTGGGGCGGGATGGAGAGCAAAGGGGATCCAGTGACTGCACTGCCCGGGGCCGCATGCTTTCCTCCGGGACGCTTCTGACCCCCGTGCTCGGCATTTCTTTTACTCTGCTTTACAGGTCACTGGAACCAAGGCTGGGAGAAGCTGACCTGGCCCGCCAGAGTTGAACTGGCATCTCGACTTGTGACCCCAGCCCTACAACTCCGCCTCCCCACCTTGCCTTGAGCTCTCACTCATCCTTGTAAAACACCTTGGATGCACAGCAGGGAGAAGAAAGGGGAGCTCGGAGACGTCAAACAACGAAGGATGAGAGGGAAGGGGGGCGTTTTCCTTCCGAGTTACCCTGCATTTTCACAGCCGGAGCGGAGGCTCTGTGCCTGTCTTGGCTCAACGGGACAAACAGGGCGGCCTCAAACACAGGCTGCAGCACCTCTGCCTGCCTGCCCACCCCACCATCGGTTTGTGGCTCCTGGGCTTGAGAGGGGGCGGTAGTTCTCGCGAGGCGCAGCTCCTGGCCGGGAGAGCGTCAGTGCGAGCCCAGGGGCGGCTTGGGGGACCTGGCCTGCCCTGCCCAACGCTGTGTCGTCAAGGTGGACCGGGCCCAGGGTAAGGGCATACCAGGATGGGGGGCAGCCTCCACAGGTCCAGCCTCTTGGTGGCCAGGCAGTGGGTCTTGCACTTGGAGCAGAAGTACATCTCGTCCTCGCCCAGCTCCTCCTCGCTGGTGAAGGCCCGCAGGCAGCTGTCCAGGTTGATCGGCTCGGCCTGGGCGTGCCGGCTTTGCTCCACGCTCTGGTGCTCCTCCGCTATCTGAAGGGGTGACGAGTGCGGGTGAGATCTCCATTTTGGGGTGGCGACCGCCGCCATGCCAAAACCCGCTTCCCTCCTTCCTGGTCGAAGCTTCCAAGTGACTGCGTGGGCTAATACACAGGGCGTCTGACTTCGGATCAGAAGATTGAGGGTCCGAGTCCCTTCGTGGTCAATATGTTTGACATGCTCATGGTAGGCGTGTCGTGAGCAGAGCCGGCTGGAGCCGGGGGTCAGGCTAGATGGCCCGGGAGACCCCTTCTGACTTGCTCTGTTTCTATGTTTCTATGTCACCTGCCCCACACACACTTTACTGAAATACAGGACAGTATTACAGTAATTTTGGATACAGGGTGGGAGCATCTGAGAGAGGCGGGCAAGAGATATACAATTTGAGACTAGAAACCAGTCTGATTGTCTGCCAGACAAACTGGGCCAGTTCTTCTGACAGAACCAAGTCATCTTGGGTTAAATAACCCCCAGTGAGCCGGCCGTGTCGTACCAGCCAGGTCATGCTGGGTGAGTCAACAAACCATAATTATTCAGGGGTGAATGCTATGTGTAAGATGGGTCACAGTTAGCCCGGAGTTGGCCTGCCGTTTGTTTTACCCGCTCCTGTGATGTCTGGTAGCGGAGGTGAAGTGCCGTCGGATCCCAGTCCACGGCGAGGCTGGCGTTTCCCATCAGGGCTCGCTCTTCCGTGCAGTCGATTTTACAGCCATGGCAAAATCTGCAGGCAGCAGGGAGGGGAAGGAGGTGGTGAGACGAGAGCAAGCGTCTGGCCTGCAAGTGGATGCCCACCCAGAAGCCTAATCGCTTCGTTGCCATTTAACAAGCATGGAAAATACGTCAGGATTAAGTACCATCCACACAATGATCAAATCAGTATATGTGTTCTGTGAATTTAACTTTCTTATGAAGATATTTATTTGGGAAGAAAATGGAAAAAATACCGCTTAGTTGGTGGGGTTGTAGATATAAGGTGAGCAATCATTTACATGATATCCATGTCAAAGCATTCCTTTACGTAATAATTATTCATTTTAATTAAGTATTGATTCAATTGAGTATTATTCCTAAGTATTGGTAACCTAAAATTGTAGTCATAAATTTGGCAGAAGTAATAATTATTGACTTTTTGTGAAATTTTCTGCATATAGTACTATATGTCACATTTGTGAAAGGCCCCGTTATCTTTTTCTTCATTTGTATAAATAAAGCAGGAGGCTGCTGGCTATTTGAGAAGCTGCGAGACAATGTCATGAACGTGGGTCAGGCGGAAGAGGGGGACCGGGGCAGCGAACGGAGATGCGCTGGCGCTTTAAAGACTGGGACATTTGTAAAGATGCCCAGAGCTGTCCTTCGAAAGGCAGATGGGTGCCGGTGTGGGCGAGTGACCACAGAGCAGAGCCCGCCAAGGAAAGGCAGCGGGCCCTGAGCTTTGCCGGACGATGGTGCCAACGAGCATGCCCCGCTGGCCCTCTGCCCTGGTGCCGGGCCGCCCCAGCTCCCCCAGCCCCAGGAAGAATGGCTCACCTGTACCACGGGCACCAAGCACACGAGTTGCCGTCTTTCTGAACCACCCGGAGGGTGAAGGGGTACTGGTATCCCATGCTGTCATCACTAGAAGAGACACACACGCACGCCGTTTCTAAAGTGCAAAGCTCCCAGTTATTACTTTGCGGACGAGTTTTCTGAGCCAGGGCGGAAATCTGGGAGCCTCCCTGGCCTTTGTTCCAGGGGCCTTTCCCCAAATATCAATGGTTTCTCTGCAAGGCGTCCATCTGGACCTTGGGTGGAGGACGGGAGGGCTGGAGGCGGCTGCCCTGCCCTGCCCTTTCATCACTCCAGCCCTTTAGCTGGAAGGATCGCCCCCGAGGGAATGCGGCTCTCGGTAGTAATCCACTGCAGGGGCCAAGGGTGTCAAGAAGGCAGAATGCCTCTCGCTGCAGCCCTCATTCTGCCGAAGGACAGAGAAGGCTGAAAAGTCCCCCCCACCCCCGGCCAGAATGCTTCAAGACAAGCGGGGATACGGGCCGGGCTCTTGGCTGACGGATGCTCTCCCACCCCGCCCAGGATACACTCAGCTTGCTCGAGGGAAACCCCGGGCCCCTTCCCGTCGCCCAGAGCCCACACGCTGGGGCTCGCCCTGCTACTGGAGGCGCCCGGGCGCTCAACCCACCAGTCCTGCGCATGGTTACTGGCTTCCTGGGGAGGCAGAGGACTCGCAAGCCGGGAGACCTGGATCCAGACCGCGTCATACAAGTCCTTCTTGCGTGTGTGGACGGTGCACGGAACGATGAGCGGCATTCCGAAGAGACTCGGCCGATTCTTCTGAGATGAAAGGAAGTACATTTCTGTCCGCATCTGCACTCGACATCAAACACACAAATTAAAAGTTAGGGATGATACGCAGAGTTTTATTGTAGGAACGATTTCCGTGCGGTCTTTCTCCCAACGGTGCTGTTTAAAGTGTGTTACGAAGATCTATAAAAATGACTAATAAAAACAGTTGTAAAATCAGCAATCTCTCAAACAGCGGATAAAACGCATTTAAGGGCAGGACTCAGACTTGGAAGGTGGAACATTGTTCACCATCATCCTAGTTAAGAGCTGCGACGGACCACGGAGAAGGCCCAGCATCCCACAGGGCCCCACTTTCGGGGGCTGGACAGCTGCCTGCCGCAGAGAGGGACTTTTCACTCGTTGCCTCGTCGCACACGCACAAGGTGCGCAACCGGTCCAAGCGCAATCCCCGGGACCTCCCGCGCATGGGGCAAGCATGCAAGCCGCGTCTGCCAACAGCTCCGGCGTGGTTAGGTAGCTGCTCACCATCTTCCTGTGGACTGCTATGATGTAGCCGATGAAGGGGCTGTCCGACGGAGCGGCGACGTGGCCGTTCGCCACCGTGCCAGAGAGGCCGTTCTCCATTCTGCAGGGCACCACCGTGTTCGGCATCCCGTTTGGGATGAGGATGGAGCGGGGAAAGTCGCCGTTCACCAGCACGTTGAGGACCCCGTTTGCCGACAGCCCGCTGGGGAACTCTGAGGCCGGACACAAAGATGTCGTTAGGGTTAGGGGCTGCCGTTTACCGGGGCCGCATGCGCAACGTGACTGGAGGGGATCTGTGGACTCTCTTCCAGGACCTGGGAGAGCCAAGCCTGCTCTGAACCTCTGCATGTGTGCACCCAAATAATTCTGCACTCAGTCTCTCCAGATTCTGCAATTAGAACTGCACCGAACTGAGTGAGGGCTTGGATGTTAAATCCCATGAAAGGGAACAGGAGGAGCGGTGCAGCCCAGATGCAAGAGCATGTGGAAGTGAGGCCTTGCTCAGCCACTCCAGGATTTCAGCCAGCTGCAGGCAGCACTTGCCAGCTGTGCAGTCATAAGGACTAGAAACTTGAGGTTTGTGGCAAGCTGAATTTGGGTCTTTTTCTTTTTCTCTTGTGGAATCCCCACATGCCTGAGTTACGCTTTTGACCACACCAGCTGCCCCTGTGTTCTGCCATCTCCCGGCACAGCTGACTGGGAATGCTGGGAGTTACAGGCCTTTTTTCTGCTCAAGCTTCCATTGGATTACCCCAAATTCATTTACATTTCCTTACCTGTTTGCACGGGGCTTGGCGAAGCTGATGTGGGCGATCCCGGAACAGGTATCTCGAATGCACACAGAGAGGCGCTTGTGGAGTGCCGGACTTTCTGGTTGTCTTGTGGAAAGTTCTTTTGGGAGCAAACAAAAAGCAGGAGGGGAAGAAATGTTTGGATTTAACATGGGCTCACTCACCCACGGTCTTTGCTCATTCTAAGTCACCGCACAGGCCGGGGAGGACGATAACCGTTGCTCCCCATCCAGAGAGCTCCATGGAAAGTCCTAAGCACAGGAGTTCTCCCTGAGTGAACACGCCTGTCTGTGCCCCACACGCCAACTGCTGTGCTCCGAGACGGGGGTGGCAAGGTGGGAGGGAGACCCCCCCCCCCTTTTGCACACCTGGGGACATCAGCGGCCGCGGAAAAGCATCCTTACCTTTATGTTGGAGCTGTGCACTTCCGCAAGGAGGATCTGCTCGGGCTTCAGCCCGCAAAGATCGCTGAGATGCTTTTTCAAGCCCGTGTATTTCTCATCCATGTTCAGCCTCAGCCCGTATCGAACGGGAGTAGAGCCGTCTAACTTCATTACTGGGAAAGCAAATGGAGAAGAGAACAGAGACTGTAAAAACCCCATTACGTGGCACAGTGGGGCTGCTGGGCTGGCGATTTCCACAGGACGCCGGGCGCTCTTCCTCCCTGACATGTGCCCCAAACCTTGGGTGGCCTGACTCACTGGTCCTTGTAACGAAGGCACATTTTGGGATCTAATTCAGGAGGGGCTGAACTCACAGAACTATTAACGCCTTTTATTTCTTAGGTGCTTTCAAGGTCTTCCACCAGGGCGAGGGTTGCGCTGGGACTGGGGGGAACCAATTCCAGTCCCCACATGACTGGGTTGCGCTGGGTGACTCTGGGTCAGTCGTGGACTCATGGCCTAATCTGCTTCACAGGGTGGGTGTGAGAGAACATGAATCGGGAAGGCCCACGGAAGCTGCCCTGGGCCCTTCCCAAGAAGCAGAAGAGCAGGATGTAAATGTTACGCATGAACCCGAATTCCAAAGCCTGCCCCTGGGGAGTCTCGAGCGCGCGTGGCCTCCTTTGCCAGGCTCCGAGGGGCGACGCTTGCGGCCTGCCGACTTCGCTTCCTTCCTGGCACCGGCAAAGCGGGAGGATGGCTTGGGGTTCTTGCACCCACCTATGATTTCTATGTGCATGTAGCTGTCCATCGGGAGGGGCAAGGATAAGAAGTTGAAAGGGTCAAAGCGCACGCTGATGTGCCCACAGGTTTTGCATTTCACTTGGGACCTCAGCTGCCCGTGGAATAAGTCCACCACGATCGAGCGGTTCCTCCTCAGGTGGTTTTCCCAGGCCTGGAAGGGAAGGGAAAGGGAAAATACTTCCGGAAAAGGTTGGCAAGGAGAAACGCCCGAGAAAGCTAGAAGCCAGAGCTACGGGGCTGAGCGCAAAGGGAGCCCTCGGATGGTTGAACGCTGTGGCCTCGTTCCGGCCCTGAGTGACTACCAGCACTTGGGCTATTTTAGTTAGGCTGTGTGTGTGCGAGAGAGAGAGAGAGAGAGAGAGAGAGAGACACACACACACACACAGATTGGAAGCTGTTTTGTGCAAAAACAAACTTGCATGTAGAAAGCCATCACCTCAGGGTACCCTTTCCCTGACATGCTCGTTTTCAAGTTGCCTTTATCATCGGTGTTCCACCCAGGTGAGCCCCCTGGCCGCAGACTGAAGTGCAACAGCCTAGACATGGGCTAACTGCCCCTTGAGATCGGCGGCAGAGGCCCTTCTCCGGGAGCCCTCCGTGAAAGATATTAGGAGGGTGAGTACCCGGAGGAGGGCCTTCTTTGTGGTGACGCCCCACCTATGGAATGCACTCCCCAGAGAGGTCTGTCTGGCGCCGTCGTTATTTGTTTTTCGGTGCCAGACCAAGACTTTTTATTTAAAAGTTATTTTAATTGTTAATTATTGATTGTATTTATTTGGTTTTTTATGCTTGTGCCGAGATGTTTCTGGATTTTTAAGGTTAATTATACGATTGTTATTTATTTTGTAAGCCACCCCGAGGCCTTTTGCGAACGGGGCAGCATAGAAATGTTCTAAATAAATAAGCAAGCAAGCAAGCGAGGGCTGGGCTGCTAGTATAAGGCACAGAAGAACTGCCTCTCTTCTAAGAAGGGCTCCTCGGGACAATGCCCTCCAGACATGTTGCGCTACCACTCCCATCATCCCCAGCCAGCTGGGCAGGGTGAGGCAAAGCGCGGCTCCAGCAAAACCACAGCAAACCTCCCCCTTTCTGCCACCAGAGTGGAGAAGCCGAGGCCCAAAGCACGGGGGCAGGCGCGGTGCGCCACGGACACACACCTCTGCCGCGACCTCCCAGTCGGGGCGGCCATCGCTGTCCTTCAGCTCCACGTACGGCTTCTCGTGGACTCTGTTCAGGTCCTCGTGGAGGCCATCCAGGAGAAAAGCCAGGAGCTCTTGGGAGTCTTGCTGCTGGAATCCATTGAATCGGGGCGCGTACTTCGCGATCGTCCACTGCAAGGAAGAAGTTGTGTGTTAGGGGCTGAGGAGCATCCCTGCCCACCCCCAATTAAGCCCCACGCTCACTTGGACGCCACGCTTATCGAGTAAGGGTTGACTGTGGGTTGCCACTGACCTGGAGGAGTGAACTCAGCCACACTCACAACCCATGGCTTACTAACCACAAACCAATCACAACCCAGCAACCGGGTTCACACGTAACAATAGTTAAATAACCCATGTGTGGTCTGGCACGAATGGGAGAGAGAAGGAATGCAGGCAGAAGCGGGCCTACCATGTCCATTTTAAGCCAGCAGTACACGCCTCTTCTGCTTGCCCCCGATTGCCCATAAGTTCTTAAGCCCATGGGCCGCCATTACGTGTGAACCAGCCCAGCAACGAACCATGGGTTCTCCTCCTGGTTTGTTCGTGGTGGATAAGCTACATTTTACTAGCGGGGTGGCTGGTTTGCTCAACGTAAGACTCCGCAACAACCTACATGCGACCCATCCTGAACCCAAATTTTGCTGTGCCGTATCACACGAGTCCAGCCAGGAATGCAAATGGGGACAAACCCAAACCCAATTCAAAGATGAAGAAAATGGGATGCCACATGCTGTCCCTGCAACTCAGGTGCTTCAGGCACATCGCGATATCCACCTGGCTTCCAGCAAAAGTAGATATGCAAAGGAAGCTTTTATATTGTGGTTTCTTATCTAGGATGCCAAACTTCCACAAGCATGAGAAGCAAACCTGCAGATCCTTTTAATCCAAGCTGTGCTGATGAGGAAGGACTCTCCCCCATTCCCTTTTCTTAGCATTTATTCGTTTCTACAGCCAAAGCTCTCTGAGCTGCTTCCAGAAACTAAACGCCTAAAGACACCATAACACAACACAACACAACACAGCACCCGTGCCTAAAAACATGCAAGTCGTCCACTTTGCGAGCGACATCTTGAGCATCTGTTCAAAGTTGGGTTTCAGTTGTACTGATGCTCAGGGCTCCCTGGTTGAAAACATGACCTTTAAATAATAATAAAAAATTCCTGCTGCGGGAGAGCGACGTTCCCTGCTGGTTCTTACCCGCAATTTCAAGGGCGCAATGTTCTTTTGAGTCCCACTCCAGAGCTCTTGAATCAAATCCCCGTAACATTTTGCCATATGCCCTTTCATTCCTATCGGGTTTGTCCTGGAATTTAGAATGACAGTCGTTAAGGCAATTAGCTACTTGCTGCCTAAAAAAAAGAAAGAGAAAGGAAAAGTCAAGCCAGCCAGAGGCACTTAGAACCAATCCACGCGCTACATGGATTGTGGAGTGTACGGCAATCAGAGATTTTTTTAAATCTAATATAAACAGCTCCCAGGATGGAGGAAGACATCACTAGAAGAGCTCTTGGGAACATCTTCCCCCTGAGATGCTGGTTTTCTACATGCAGGGAGGGTGGCTCTGCCCATGTTGGCTGGGAATTCTGGGCACTGCTGTTCACCTGTCAAAGTTAGCTCTTCCCCCCTGCAGGCCCGAGCACAGGGCCTCGTCCACGCTGGTGCCGACACCCCAGCCACACATGTGAACTGACCTGTTGAGCTCGTACAGGTGCCTGCCCGAGATGAAATACCGCGTGAGGGGCTGCGTGTTGCTGACGCACTGGATGCTGGAATTCATGAAGCAGGTGTTGCCCAAGTTGCTGAGGCCGGTGGCCCCTTTCTCCGTAGGAACTGACGGGGGTGAAAGAGGAACGGAGAATGTGGTCTGCCTTGCTGGGTGGCGCTGGGCACCGCCGAAGCCGACCAAAGGGGGAAGGGGGTGAAGGCACGCTTATCACGCCATGGATAAAAACGGAGAGGACTAGCAACATGAGTCAAACAAAGGATGCTCATGCATTTGAGAGTTACAGCCTTGGACTGCAGCCCAGGACTTGCGTATCCTCAGCGCACAAGACCTGGAATGGTTCGATCCTGTACACGCTCTTACGTCTTTGCAAAGGTTTTAGAAAACCATTTTGGGGGGAGGGGGAATGTATGAACAGCTTGTCTGAAACATTTTGGCCATTATTCCAAAAGAAAGTATTCCATCATCTTATTTTCCAATTTTTCAGGAAAACTGGGGAAAGCTTTTTTTCTCCTAGGCCTTTGCTTCTCTCTTCCTCTGAAGCGTGTGATGCAGGAGAATCCTAAAGCACGGAGAAGGGCTGTGTCGCGTGAGGCCACGGACATGCAAGGAGGTCCCATTTGGGAATGTTCCAGAATGGGAAAAAGACTGCCTGCAAGTGAAAGCTGGAAAGGGGCGCCCAGGGGCAGCCCGGTCTTCCAAGGACACGACTTCTTGCTTTCTGCTTGAACACAGGTGAGCATCCGGCAAGGTGAGCCGTCCCCTGCAGCAGGAATCCGCCTGGTCCAATCTCTGGACTCCGTCCAGGCATGCTGCTTCTGGGGCATCCGGGGGCGGGTGGGCGGGTGGGCAGGAGAGCAAACACTCACCCTTGTGCCTGTCGATTTTACTGCTGTTTGCGATGAAAGACATTTCTTCTGGCCAGCTCATGTCCTTGTTCCGAACTGCAAAGGCACAGAAAAAAGCTTGGGTGAGAGGCGGCTCCAGGATCTAGGATGCACGTCTCTGGAGAATATAACACTGCAAACGTGTGTAGGAAGGCGAGGCGAGGCGAGGGAGCGCCCCCCGCTTTCCCCACGCAACCCCACTCGTGCGCCCCCTCCCCCAGATGGGCCCCTGTGGGCCCCAAGCACCTCCTGCCCCAGGCTCAAACCCGTAATTCCTCCACAAAACATTTCGACATTCGCATTTCCTCTTTGGGTGTAAACATTTTTAAGAAGATGTTTACACCCAAAGAGGAAATATTAGGGAGAAAACTAGGACTGGCCTCAGCATAATTTACTGGAGGAGGGGAGAGCAAGAGGTCTGTGAAGGCAGAGTGGGAGTGCCGGAGAGGAAGGCAAGGAAGTTTGTGCCCTCAAATGCTTTTCTCATACCTTCTATTATTAAGCGCTGCTCGTCTTGGATGTTCAAATACTCCAGGGTGTGATCTTCATCATCCAGAAGAGTAAGGTAGTTCTGTACAGAAGAGGAAAACAAACACTTCCTGCTGATTTCTAGTCCTTGATGATCTTGAGAGGAATTTCTGGTGGGGGGGGGGTGTTCCACCTTGCTCCCTGCCCCGTTCATTTGGAGATCATGTCAAACCACAATTAAGCTCTACTACATCTGGTCTGGTTGTTTGATGACACTAACCCATGGACTGGGTTCCCGGATTCTGGCTTGCCCTATTGTGTGAATGCAGGCACGCTGACAAATCTTGGTTTGTTGACTACTAACAACCCAGAAAGAGAAGCCACAGCTTGCAGTTGGGGTGTGAATGCTGGATTTTTGATATGGGTGAACCCAGAACTGTGGGTTGTTCGTGGATTGTTCCGCCGGGCTACAAAGATGGTGGACAAAAGTATTAACATAAAAATAGTTTATCTACGTGCCGGGAATACAGCACCCCAAAGGCGTTTGGGAGACAGAGATAAAGCTGGTGAAGAGGAGGAAATGAACAACCCAGAAACTGAGAAAACAAACCGTCGTGTCCTGAACAAATCCTGAACAGGACCAAAACTATGGACTATTAACCGCTCCCATAAAACATGAGAAGAAACTGCACAGGATCAGGCCACCAAGGCCTATCTTGTCCAGTATTCTGGTTACACAGGGCCAACCAAAGAGGAAGGTCCAGATCTCGTCTTGCTGATGCCAGAGTGTAGGACACGGAAGAATCAAGTCAAGTTGCGACAGCCCAGATTCAAGCTGGGCATCAGGAAAACCTTCCTCACAGTTAGAGCAATACGGCAGTGGAGCCAGCTGCCTGGAGAGGTGGGGGGCTCCCCACACTGGAGACATTCCAAAAGAAACTGGGCAGCCCCCTGAGTGGGATGGTGTCACGTGGTGTCCTGCAGCAGCAGGGGCTGGACTAGATGGCCTTCATGGCCCCTTCCAACCCTCCTGTTCTATGATGCTATGAACCAGAAGCCTAGGCGCAGGTCAAGAGCTCAACCACACGCCTGTTCTCTCCCACAAGGGACCCCCAGTAACTTGAGTCTCCCTCCATCTGCGGGTGGTTTGCACCGCAGCTCCCCAGATTCCTGACCCCCGGAGCCGACGGGGGCTGAGGTCCGAAGCACGTCTGCGCGGCACCAGGTGGAAAGGCTGCGGGAGTCCGGACGGGGCCCGGGGGGCTGGAGGCGTGCGCACGGGGCGCTTACCTCGCTGTTGTACAGCCAGAGGCGCATGTCCTCCTCCTTGATGCGCAGCCTTTGCGACAGATACTCGTGGATCTCCTTGATGGTCTGCGTGCGGCTGAAGCAGCCGGTGTAAGCCAAGACCCGCTTCAGGGGGGCGCTGGGCGAAGGGACGTTCCCTGCATGGCGAGAGGACAGCGGGGCCGCTGAGACAGGGGGCTCCGACGGAAGCAAAGGAGGGGAGAAGGAAGGGCTTCGCCCCAGCAAGAGACAGTCCCTGGCTAGCCCCCTTAACTGCTGTGTTTGAACCCTTTCCTCTCTTTTGAACCGCCGTTCAGGAATCAGAGCGGATGTGGAGCCCCGCAGAAGTTAGAAATGAACCCCGTGTGGCGTTTTCTTTAAGAGAACACCGCCTGTGACACTGCGAAGGGCGGGACGCAAAAATTTTAAATAGATGAGATAGATAGACAGATAGATAGAACACAACGCTGCTTTCTTCAGCTCCTCTGGTCTTCCCAGGGCCTTAAGGATTGGTGCTCCCTCTTTCCCAGGTGGTCTCCTGAGGCCCCAGCAGGAAAAGGGGCAGGGAGCACGGCGTGCCAGGAGGGCCGGGCAAATGTGCAGCCCAAGACCTCGACTTTCTACAGCCGCCAACCCCGCAGTCACCTCTTGGACTCTGAGCTGGATGGCAGAGAAGTCCTGCCCTCCGTGTGGTGCACCATTCGTCAGAGGGAGGGGTGGAAGAGCAGGGGCCCCTCCCTCGCCTGCCTGAGACCACCCGCTGCCTGGCTGCTCCCCTTCCCACGGGGTGCAGAACCTTGGGCGGGAGCCAGAGAGGGCCCGCTGCGGCTCCCCAGACAGTGGTGCCCGTCCCCGTTCCTGCAGCCACCTGTCGCGGGATGGCTTCCTAGAATTAGTGCAGCTTCCCCCCGTGCTAAAGGTTGGCGTTCCTTTTTCGAGGCTTCGTTACAGGCAGTAAGAGCTTTACGCTAAACGGCGCTGGCCTCGTTTTCCGGGCTGCCTCCCATTTTGCCTCCTGCCTGGTTACATTCCCTGCCACTTCTCTGACGTGGAACCTGGCTTTCAGGTTGAAAGATGTTCGACTTTTCTGCTTCAGACCATCTCAATATCTGATTTGGTGCAAAATGGGTTGAGAGATTACAAGGAACGCGTATTGAAACGGCCAAACTGAAACCACACCGGCTGGGGAAGTCAGCAAAGCATATCCCCACGCCTTCTATTTCATAACAAATTGAAGCGAAGGATTATTTTCCCCCTTCATGTACATACAAACAAAGCGTTTTTTCTGCAATTAAATGGTGAGAGGATTAGGAACAAGATTACAGCAAGAAAGCATGTCAGGGTGGGGGCACTTGAGATTAATAGTTGATTTTCAGTTAGTGCAAAGCAGGAATTCCAAATCATGATCAGAGGCAGCATATCGAACAGCCTGCAGATCTGAACTGAAGGATTTTGTTGGGCTTGAGGCAAAGCAGCGGCCACTGCAGGACACCCAGCGAGACCTTGGTGGCCAGTCGGCTGGAATTTCAGAAATGGATCGGAGAATCAACCACTGATTATGACAAATCTGGAGAGGTGCAGCAGACCCGTTCCCTTTCACGGAACGGCCCAGCAAGCGATAAAAAAGAAGGCATTGATTGAGTATTGAAGCAAACTCTTATTAAAAGTCAGCGTGCTGTCGGGGCTTTCCTCCCGGAGTCTGGCCTGCCGAGCTCACGAATGGCCTCGTGCAAAGTCAGTGGCGTGAAAGGCCTCGTGAAAAGCACTTGTACAAAGCCCTGGTGTGGGTACGACACAATTCCTCCACGGATGTGCTGGGGAAAACATGCACGCACAATCCACGTGCAGCCAGCTCAGACAGGCAGGGACGGTCTCCGCTGTGGGGTGCCTGGAGGCCCTCGTGGGGCTGTGCCTTGGTGCAATTCCCACTCACCCCCCAAGGCTGCTCGGGAATGGTGGCCGGCAGCCCGGAGGTGGGGAAAGGACTACCTGGAGAGCAGCGGGGGAGGAGGGCAGCGGAACCAGGCTCCGCTCTATGCCTATCGTCATGAGGATGCCGCCTTTCTCGCGAGTCTGCCATGCAAAGTCACCGAGTTCTAGAGCAGGGCTTAAATTTGAGCTTAAACTTGGGTCTGCGAGCGGTTTTCCTGCTGTCCTCAAGGCTGGGGAATGTCAGAGCCGTGGCTTAGCAGTCGCTGTGTGAGGTGGGGGAGCAGAGACGGAGAGGCCAGTGTTCCTCAAGGCAGTGCCGTCCACATGTCCTGTACCCTAAGTCCCATCATCCCTGGCCATGCAGGCCTGGGCTGATGGGTGGCGGTGGTCCAAAACACCTGGAGAGCAGCTGGTTGGGGAAGGCCGCAATACAAAGGGGGATCTCCGGCAGATCAGCTAGGTTTGGGAGTGCCGGCAAGTTCCTCACTTCCACTGGATAAAGGCTGCTGAAATCAAGGCTGGAGCGAACAGCCGTGCGGGGGAGTGGCCGTTCCGGGACGGACAACGCGTTCCCGGGTTCAGCACGTGTTCTGGGACGGAGCTCTGCGCCCAGCCGCTCCCCGTGGGGGCCGGAGGCCACGGACTTTCCGCCCCGGTGGGACAGGAGGCGCTGCAGACCGACAGACCCGCCCTCTTGTGCCGACGAGACTTTTGATAAGAGCTGTGCTTTGGCAGGGGAAGGGCCCCCCGTCCCCAGCCGCAGGCGAGGGCTTCATTCGAATCGCTTCCAAGCAGTGGGGCAGCAGGGCCGCCGCGGGCCGGGCGGTGGGGCTGGCCTTCGTGCAGAGCCTAGGCAGCCGGATTCTTGCTGTATTCTTAAGTTACCTCTCAGCAAATCGTGAGGAAACACCCTCAGGCTCATCATACCCATGTTCACCCAGATGTTGGACTGCTGCGTCCGGGTGGCCGGCTGCTGCCGCAGGAAGAGGAGGTACCGGGGAAAGAGTTCCAGCTCAGGCAGCGCCGTCGCGTTGTTCCGGATCACCTGCAGGGGGACAAGACGGCAGCTCTGAGAAGACGGCAAGACTGGGCATTCTGCTGTCATTGAGCTCTTTCAGGACGAGGCGGTAAAAAACCAGGTGTGTGGCTCAAACCAGGTGTGTGGCTCATCTGATCCACTGGGGGAGGCACCGGTTTTCGGGCAGCTCCCGTACCCTGATCCTGAAGGAGCGAAATGCCCCTTCTAAGGTTTGGCTACTTGCAGGAAAAGCTTCGAGATGGCACAGGCCGGTCTTTTCGCCCCGCCGCACACTGGATGGAGAGCCCTCTCTGGAAACAGGCTGCAGGTGGAAGCTTGTCCCACAACCTCTTGGCCAAGGCCCTGCAGTGTGGCTGGAACCCGAGGCCCGAGCGCTGCTGCTGGTCAGAGGAGACCATTCCGGACCAGGCAGCCGTTCCCAGGTGCAAGGCAGAGTCTTGCAGCCACGGAAGTGGGGGCTGCAGGATCAAGCCCCCCCCTCCCCGCCATGTAGGGATCTACTGTCCACTCTGAACTGCAGCTGCCAAGTTGGAGCCTGAATCTGGAACTTTCCCCACGTGGCACATGAGCCCTTCGTGGCTGAGAGCATCGCACTTCCCTTCTTTAAAGTGTGCGGGTTCTGCACCACCCAAGGAAATCCTCACACCCTTTTCGGGCCAGGGAAAATGCTCATTGTGAGAAGCTTTGAAAAATCAGAGCTTCGTGGTGGTGAGGGGGTCAAACAGCCAGCAACGACACTTCAACAGGCTGACTACATCCATCTCTTTGAAAGTCAGCTGTTTGTAAAATATTAGCAATATCTATCAGCCAACCTACCGACCTACTGTGAGAAAGAACAGTACAAAATCAAAGTTTGGAAATTGTTATTCTGCCTTTTAGAAAACTGACACAAAATAGTCTCCTGGTTCTGAGCTTGTCCGCGGAAGCAAAACTCAAGGCCAGAGGCCTTGAATACTGAGGGCAGGAGAGAAGGGCTGGCAGAATAGCATCCTCCCACAGGACTTACTGGTCTTGGTAGAGACAGGTTGGCCCCATACCAGTGGTAAAGCGCCCTCCACACCGGCTCCGGGACGATTTCGTAATTCCTCCCTTGAATTAACAGGGGAGACTGCTTGAGTCGACCGCCTTCGAGCGTCAGCGATGGAGCCTGTGAGACAGAGGAGAGCAGGGAGTCAGCATCCGATCCCAAAGGGACACCAAAACCTCCACTGGGGAAGGAGGAGCGCAGCCTTTCCTAGTCGGCCGAGCCGGGGGGCTGTGTGGATGCCTGGAAAGGCCACGCCACCAGCCCCGGCAGGGAAGAGCGCTGCTGGCAGGTGTTCTGGCCACTGCGACTCCGAGGCGCTTATTTAACTGTTCTTTCTTAAATGCAGGAGACACCCATAAAATAGGCCCTCCTGGGCGTTTTACAAAGTGCTATCAACAAATAAGGTGGCTATAAAACCAACCAAGCACGACAAAGAAGCATGCCAGCCCAGCGTAAAATATCATAGCGGGGCGTGTGAGGAAGAGAACGCGCTGCAGCAATTGGAGCTACCAACGCCGGATCACTTGAGAGGCCTTTCAAAGACCGAACGGCACAGCGCTGTGAGGCAGCGGGGGGAGCCAGGGGACGCTTTGGGGGACCCGGCTGTGATGCCGGGAAACCGGTCCGGACTGGCAACTTGCTCTCTGTGCCTGGACTGCCGCCCAAGGTCCCGTGGTTGGTTGCAGAAAGATCCATGCCAGCAGCTCCAGTTCCAGATGAACTGCAGTGGTTGCCTGTTCCCTCCTGGGTCCAATCCGAGGAGCCGGTGCTTCCTTTTCAAGCTCTCCGCACCTCGGGGGCCCAAAGCCCAGACAAACACCCTGCCTGTACTGGCTTGCTCATCTCTTGGCACACGGGTGGCAGGAGACGGGTCCTGGACTCCAACTCCCAGTATTCCTGACCGCTGCCACGTTCGCAGGGGTTTCGGGGAGCTGAAGTCCACACCATCTGGAGACTCGCCTGCTGCGCACCTGTCTTCTGACAACCTTATTTCAAAAGTCCCCCTTGCAGGCACACCTGGCGTCCAATCTGGGCGGCACCAGGACAGACACGCATCTTTTCAGCCTGTCTCCATAACCGAAATGTTCACAGCCGTCTTTTGGGACGGCTGCTGGGTATTCAACTGCAGAAGGAGAGGTTTTCAAACAATTCTTTACGCACTGCCCTGGCCTCTCCTGTGACGAAGGACGGCACAGAACTGAAGCTGTTGCGATCACAGAAACAGCTGGGGGGGGCGGTGCGGACATGCAGCCCCCCCCCCGCATTCTGCCACACACTCGCCTTCATGGGGTCCTGCGTTACAAGTGGCTGGTTGTCGATCGCTCCGGGGCGCTGCGGATTGAGGTGCAGGAACGCGTTCCCATTGGATCCGAGCATGCACTGATTGTTGTTGTCGGAAGAGTTCAGCTGCCGTGCAAAGCACATCTCGGCGCTGGGCGTGGTGGCGTGAAGAAAATCTAGCCGGGGAGACGGAGACGGGAGGGGGAGAACCATTACGACAGCGCGGGGTGGGCACGCACCTCAGCAGCAGCCGTGCGCTCAGCCCGGGTCGGAAGAGGAGCGCCTGAAACGCGGGGCGCCTCTCTTCGCAGGTGCTGGAATTCGTTCCTCCCTCCCACTTGCACAAGGGGCACCCCAAAAGCACCGCATCCGTACGGAGCGCAGCCTGCAGACCCGCACTGCTCCGGCTGCGCTCGGAGGCACGGGGCCCTGGCCCGGTCCTTCCTCCGCTGCATGAACACGAGGCTGGCCCGGGATTTGCAAACTCCCCGCCCTGGAGAGCCGGCCCGTCGCAGGAGCCGTGCAAGGCAGCAGCGGCGGATGCGTGCTGTCAGCTCAGGGACCCCCCCACTCTCGGGGCCGGCGGGCACGGCAAGGGAGGCTTCTGCGCCCCTACCTAGTCCCCGAGTGCCGAAGCATTATCCTTCTCCACAGGAATGAATGGCAGCCGTTCGTTCATTCCTGGGAGGAGGAATCAAGTGCCGTTACTCGAGCCAGCGCCGGCCAACACCCCCCGGGAGACGCTGGGTCCACGGACAAGGGGCAGGCTTGGCTCTCTTTCCTCCGAGGTCACAGGGGGCTCAGAGAGACCCAGCGCGTGTGGGGTGGCAGCACGTCCTCTGTGCGCGTCGCCCCACCCGGCATCCTGGCCCCACGGGACGCACAAGCGCAACAGAACGCGACGGCGCGCCGAGGAACGGGGGCGAGCCCTGGCGATCTCCCCCCCCAGCGCCTCGGCTGGCCCGCGGCACTGATGCGCCCGGCCCGGACTCCCCTCCAGGCCCGCGCTGCACGCCAGCGGCCTGATGCGCCCCCGGCCTGCCTCGGCACGCCCGGCTAAGACGCAGCCGCCCGGCTCTCGACACGGGAGGGGAGGCGGCGGTTGTCGGCGAATGCTTACTGCTGCCAGGGCTCTCTGAGGCTTCTGATGCGGTAGAAATGTTATCTGAACACTTGTCTTCGGCGGCACCGAAGTAACTTAAGCCGCCCGTTTTGTCTTCGCCCTGCTCTGATGTAGAGGCCGCAGGGCCTGGGAGTGAATTCTTACCTCCGTTTAGGACTGATGAAGGCTCTATCGTAACGGGGCTAGCGTCCTGGAAGGGGGAGAGAAAGCGGGGGCTGAATGGCCACGTGGGAAGGAAGCGGGGGCCGGCAGGAGGCGGCTGGGGCTTCCACGGCCATCCTCGGAGGGGCCGCGGGTTTTGGAATGACTGGATCACTGTTCCGTACTGCCCGGTGTCGCTTCCAGGGGAGGGTTAGGGTACATTTGGTGCGAGATGCTTTGCACAACTGGCTACCTCCATAGTCAACATATGCGCTGGCTTCTAAAACAACCCGTCTTGCATTGGGAGGGGAGAATTCAAGTTGCTAGTCCTCATGATGATGGAGAAAGGCTTGAAAAGGTAATGGCAGATGTGGAAGAAAAACCAGAGGATGACTCCTCCCAGCACAGATGCCTCAGAATGGTGCAGAATCTTCTACGGGGAGGGGAGGTCAAGAAGACCCCATACCAGGCTGGTCCTTTTGGGGCCTGTGACGGCTTTGCTGGCAGGTGTGCCAGGATCCTAACTTTCGACTTGCAAGCTCATGCATAAAGAGCCACGTTCCATGTTTGTCAGCTAGTGTCATGAGGACTAGATGCTTCACACTTTTGGGAAACAAGCACTGAGGGGGTCCAGATTCTAAGAACCCCACCCAGTTTAAATGCAAGCAAACTTTGCCAAGTGTCCTACGGCCAAGCAGAAAAGATGGAGGCTTATTTGCCCCTTTCCTCCATCCACACTGAACGCATGCAAATCGAAACAGTAATCTTTGTTTCTCCACAACGCTTTGTTCCCCCCATCCCTTCTTTTATGTTTCGTGCACATTAAAAAAGATTTCAGGGTTTGTCTGCAGAATAAGAAAGGCATTACTTTATTTTATCACGATAGCTAGAGCCCTCCTCACTTTCTCTTGCCAGGGAGCCAAGCCAGCTTGCATGGCCTTCCGGCATTTTATCCTCGCAACGGCCCTGTGAGGCAGGTCAGGCTGAATCAGCAACTGGCCCACAGTCCCCCAGAGGGGCTTCACAGCCAGGTGGGGGCTAGAGCCCTGATCCCCCACACCCCAGCCCAGCAACCTCACTCCCACACCACACGGGCTCCCTGAAAAGCTGCCCCCTTAGCCTGCGGGACGGAGCGGACGGCGGGAGAGGACGGTGAGAAAGTGCTTCGGCAAAAGAGCTCTGAGAAAGGCGGCCGAGAGGGCACGAGCGTGGGACTGGGACTCAGACGATGTGGGTTCTAGTCCCCGCTCAGCCATGGAGCCAACTGGGTGACTTTGGGCCACTCACAGACTCTCAGCCCAACCTCCCTCACAGGGTTGTTGTTCTGGGGATAAGATGGAGGAGCAGAATGATGTAAGCTGCCTTGAGCCCTTTGCAGGAAAAAAGCAGGATAGAAATTGAAAAATAAAATAAATAAACAAACACTGAGAAACGGGGGCGAGTCGTGAGCGAGACGCCCAGCAGGCCACGCTGGCGGCTCGGGAAAGCGGCCGGCCTTCCCCCAAGGTGGGGGGCGCCTGCCTTGCCCGCCTCGGCCCCCCCGCCCTCGCGAGCCACTTACGTATTTGACGTATTCCTTCCAGTGCTGCCACCACTGCATGGCAATGAGGAACCAGCTGTGCCCCGGCTGGAGCCCGTGCCTGCTCTCCCGCTCCAGCCAGCCCCTGCGGCCAAGAGAAGAGCACACGCACAGGCCATCAGGCCGCCGCCGCAGAGCGGCTTTGCCCCTGCACGGCGCTTTCGAGCCCGGAAGATGCTGCGCGCACTCCAGCCTCCCCCTCCTGGAGGCCCCGGAAGGGGTGGGACGGTGCCTCCCAACGTCCCCAGCCAGTTATGCTGGGAACTGTAGCCCAAGACGTCGGCGGGGCATCGCGGGCCGGTGCAAGGGCCTCGTTTTGTTCTTTCTTTCTTTCTTTCTTTCTTTCTTTCTTTCTTTCTTTCTTTCTTTCTTTCGGGGAGGAGAACCTGGCACTGAGACAGGCTCCTGGGGACCGTGGGGGCACCTGGCCGGCGGCTCCCTGGATGTGCAAAGCGTCACCCCAGGTGACGGGGCTGGGGGCAGGGATGTGGCGGTCCCAGCCCTCCCGGCGGCCATGCACAAAACCCTGGATGAGCGCCCACACACCTCCTGGCAGTGGCGAGCGGATTAGCACCACACACCGATTTAAAAAAAACACACACACACCGCAAAACTAAAAAGGAACCTTTTTCTTGGTGAAAAACAAAACAGGATCCTATCCAGAAGGTGATGGAACTGGAATTGTGGAATCACTTGCCATCTCAGTGGCAAGGGGCTCGGCTTTATCCCTGGTGGCTGGAATCGGGAGAGGGGCGCTGGGGCTTCTTGCGGGGTCTTTAAACACAGGCCTGGGTGACTCCAGGCTCTGTGCCCGGGGCCAGGGGCCGGCAGCTCAGGGGGAATCTCTCCCTCCCGGCTCTGCCCTGAAACTGCCACCTGCAAAGCCACCTGCTGGAGAACTGCCTCCGGGAAGTCGGCTTGCTTCTCCCAAGGGGCCTGGGGAAGGCGAGGAGCAGCAGGCCCCAGCACTGTCCTGGAAGATCCCCGTGTCTTATTCCTTGCTGGAAGCTGGGACAGAATTTGGGGGTGGGGAGGGCAAGGCTTACCTGATGATTTGTCCTTCCTCTTCTGGGGTAGCAGGTCTTAACCCTAAGACTATATGGCACACCTAGAGAAAAAGGAGAAAGGGAGGGGAAAATCCCAGAGTTTTAATCACACAGGATCGGAGTTGCTCTCGGCTGATCAGGCTCTGCCACAAAAGCTCCAATACGCATTGCACCTGAGTGGCAAATTGTGTGGGTACCAATGACCATGTCGGATGCCCGCTTCTTCTAGAGATACCCAATCAAATTATGGACCCAGGAAGAGGCTGCCCTTCGCTGCTCTGCCTCCTGGCCCACGGCAGGCAGGCAGGCAGGCCGGCCCAGTTTCCCGGCTTCCTGACTCACAGGCAGGGCAAAAGTGCCCTTCCGGAGCCTCCCCTGCACATCCTGGGGCACCCTCTGGGAAGGACGGCTTGAGCCAAGGCAGCGAGGGCTGTCAACCCCACTGCCAGGCATTCTGCTGCAGGGCTGCTTCCTCCGTCAGTGGCCGGGGACCCACGGACAGGTTGGCTGGCGGCTGAGGAGACACGCGGCCGAAGCAGCGAAGGCTCACCAGACCTGCCTTGAGAAGCGTGTGTGAAAAGCACAGCAGGTGTGGGTTGACTCGCCCTGCCAAGGAGGGGCTTCTCCTTCCTCACCAGGGATTGTGTGTGCCACGGAAGATCACACTTGGAATGGCACGCCCAGTCTGGGCACGCTAGGCAACGCCTGTGCCAAAGAAGGCCAACCGCCAAGGCCTTAGCCCACCAGTCCTCAAGCTGGTATCCTCCACGTATGTTGGACTACAGCCCCCACCATCCCCATCCAGCACGGCCAAGGGGGGGCCATTTCAGCAAGACAGGCCCGTCCCAGCGCAAAGTGCACCTGCGGTTATGCCAGGAGACGCCCCGGCCCCTCGCGTGTGTCTCGGGACTGGGCCCTCCTGCTTCGGGCCCCGTCCCCAGCGGGTTGTGCGAAGGCATCCAAGGCGTCTGCCCAGGGAGGAGGAGCCCCCAGGCCTGTGCTGGCACAAGAGCTGACCCGGCCCTCGGCACGGCAGCGAAGGAGCAGGCCATGGAGGTGGCACGGGCGGGCCGCGCTCGGCAGGGAACATACCTGGAAAAGCAGATTCAGGAACTCGTTGGCAAGCGCGTTCTTCACGCTCCATATCTGGTAATCCTCCAGAGTGAGGTGGCCGAGCTGGAGCCGAACGTGGGGAGGCAAAGAGAAGGCGTGAGCGCTTCCCCCAGACCCTCGCCTGACGCGCACGCGGCTCTGCGGGACCCCCACAGCCACAAATATCCCTAGCGAGCTTCACGAAGAACCGACATTCCCCACAAGCCAGTTCTTTGGACTGCCGTGCCGTGAGCGTTACGCTGGCTCCACGGGGCTTTGACACAACAGTCCCTCAATCAGGGCCCTCCAGGTGTGTCGGGCGGCAATGCCCATAATGCCCACCCCAGATGGGAGCCGTAGTTGGCCCGCCCTGGTCCAGGCAAGGCTGAGCTAAACGGGCCAAAGGGAGGACCAGGTGCCGTCCCTCCAGCGCACGCAGCTGCCCTTGCCGACCGAAAACCAGCGACGTGAAGCACAGCCGAGCAGGCCGGGGGGAGTTGCAGTCCCGACCGTGCAGCAAAGCACCCCACACTGCTTGTGCCGGGACGAGCCGCGGGGGGAGCGAGCGGGGTCTCACCTTGGTTGTGTCATGGGCCTTGAGGACCTCCTCCACCGTGTCGGACAGGTTCGTGTGCAACTCCTTGGGCAGCGGGAAGGGAAAAACAAGAGAGGAGTGACCCTCGCACAACCAGGGCACCACAACTGACACATGAAGTAAAAGAGCAGCAGGAATACTGGGTTAGAGGCAGGTTGAGTGATGGGCAGGGAAGGCCCAAAGAGGCCAAAGGGACGGCATCACTGCAAACGGCCTGTGCTAAACTTTGGCAAGCCCCGATCCTACTGATTTTATGACATCTGCCAGTTTACAAAGCTCAGAAATCCGCTGGCAGCCAAAGTTCAAGCGAGAATTAGCAGAAGAGGCACTGTTTTGCAAGATTTATATACAGCTCCGTATTCCAGTATGGGAATTCTGGAAAGGTGGGAGCACTGAAAGATAAAACCTGTGAAAGAAGCAAACAATGTGATCAAGGCTTTTAAGAAACGTCTGCTCCAGTCAGACGATTCAAGGATCAGCACCCGACAAATATGCTCTGCGCTTCATTTTCTTTTCAGACGCCTGAAGGACATTTTTAAAAGACGGGCGCGTCTGAAGGCAACTTACCGGAATGTCGTCAGTACGATTATCCTTCCAGACTTCCAAAAGGGCCACCATCATCTCGGTGAGTTCAGTGCGAGACAAAATCCCATCTCGGTCCACATCAAACACCTTGAAGCAAACTAGCGATGGGGAAAGGGAGGTTAAGCGTCTCTGCCAGAAGCACCTAGCAGCTCTGGCAGTGCCCCATCATGGCCTGGGGGAGCTGGGACTCGGTTCAGGGACACACGGGCCCAGCTCTACTGGGAAGACAGGCTTATTCAGGAAAACACGGTTACGTGCGCACACACACACACACTGCTAAGCGAACAAACACACCCACCCACACAGATGTGCCCACCACACACAGACCATCTAGGGGCTTTATTTTAAGGGTAGACCCTTTGCTAGACTAAAGAGAAGATGGGCAGAGTTAATTACAGGAAACACTCCCTAGGAGCCTCCAGGAAGGAAACAGGCTGGACGGGAAAGTAAGCGGCGCTGGGTCTAAGAGAAGAATATGGGCCACTGAGGGAAAGGGGAACAGCAACCGGGGCAGGTGGGCGTGAGCACAAGGGTGGAACCTGCAGAAAAATCCCGCTCGGGGTTCTTCCAGCTCTCCTGCCTCCTGGTTCCCGTTCCCCTCCCCTCCCCTCCCGCTCAGACTGTACTCTATTTGGCAAACTTTGGTTCCCAAAGTATCGAGCAGTTCTTTAATACATGGTTGTCTGACTCAGCCTTATCACCACCAGTGTAACATGACTCATGTTTCTGTTAAACGTACGTTTTGGCAAGGGCTGGTAGCTGCTGCTTTGGGGAGGAAGGAATGACGAAGATAAATTTTGTACTGAGACAGTCTTTAATATTTACTGCTGTATATACACAGTTTTTTAAATTATTGACCTCCTTCACGGAAATTAAAAAAGGGGAAATGGATTCTCTGAACTGCTTTGGCAGCTAAAATACTGGTGTTGCAAAACCAGAAGAGTAACGCTGAGCTGCCATAATGCAATGGATTGAGGACCTTAGAACACTTTCATTACATGGCGTAACGATGCCAACTTCAAATGAATACACATTTAAACATTTGGTCCACTTTTTTGCCGAGTTCCTAGAAAGCTGTATGCATTTCATACAAATCCGTGCAGGCACATTTAAATGATGGGAAAAGCAGAGACATTTCCAGGGGCCTGCAGGGGCTGCCGGCAACCCTTTTGCAGGTGTTTCTGGTGGTACCTGCAGCATGACAGCCCACAGGCACCTGTCTGGGGACCCCTGCTTGACCGGATTGATGCACAAAAACTCCGTGGTTGCAGTGTGCGGAATAGCTTGTCTGCAAGCATTCAAAGAGAGGCAGTGCTTACTAGACGGAGGCTGCTGAAAGCTTTCCAAAACAAGAACACCTGGACATGAAGGAACCAATGTTTGGGGTCCATGGCCAGAACACTTCTCGAGGTGACCCCAGAAATTAGGGAAAGGATGACTGGGAATGGCACCTTAATGCCGACATGCTCTGCCCAACGATGCTCGCTTGGTACCCAGAAGGGCTTTTGGGGCATCACATGCTGAGCTTTCTATTTGTCCAGGCACTGAGGGATCATTCTGTGAGTTGGGAGATTTATCAGCAAATGGTAGCTGCCATAGTCACTCCTTCACTGTTGCTTTTGTCGTTGTTGTTGTAGGTTCTCGCCCCCCTCTTTTTTAAAAAAGTATTGTTTTTACTTTTTAATTTTGCGTTGCAAGCGGCCTTGACAATGCCCTGGATTACGAAGGCAGATTGCAAATATGTCCTTGCTTATCAGCGTTAAGTTAGCGACTGTGCACCCTCTCCGACTGAAACACTCGCCCAGAACATTTACACAATGGATAAGATAATGGTTGAGAAATTAGAAGCCTGGGGAGAGAAAAGGAGGTGGGAGCAGCGGAGATGGAAGTAGGGCAAGGCTAGAGTGGCTCAGCAGAGGCTGGCCTCCAGATCAGCTTCGCTGGGGGACCTGAAGCTGAAGCTGCACAAGCAGCACCATTTGGCAGAGGCAGAATCCATGAGACCACACAGCCGACGCGGGAATGCAACAGAAGCAGAGTCATCTGTTCATGCTCAATGTTCTAAAAGGCAAATATTGGACGTTCCAGCACACTGGCACGTCAGACGCCACATATAGCTGGATGCAAACGCTGGTGCCATAAACACTGCTAACTGCTAACTGCTTATGCTTATGAATATTTTATCAAAGAGAAATGAAAATCCACTGAAAAATAAGGTTCTTGGCTACCGACCAACAAGACAGCGTCTTCGAGAGGACGGATTGTAATTGGCATAAAATGAGAGTCTAACTCACAATAATATATCGAATTAATAGAGCTGAGAGATGATTAGAAATTAGCATTTAAAAGAGCTCATATTTAAGCCACCTCATGAGATTATGTTTTCTTGTGTTTGCATTCACCCCTATAGGGAAAGAGCGCGGAAAGAAAGGCATCTTAAACACGTAGATGAATGAAGAGGGTGTTTCCTGCCCCACAAGGGGGGGAAATGTTAGAAAGTAAGCTCATCAGCTGCTCTGCAGTGGCTTAAGCTTGCTCTGATGAAGGACTACCCATTTCACGGAAAGGTGCAGCTATCATCAGTTCCCTGAAGGGCATCACTCTCACACACACACACACAAATTTGCATATTTGGCAACCCAGCCCCCTGCCCAAACGGCACTCCTTGGGCAGCGGATCGAGGAAGCCATCTTCAAAGCATTCGTGGCCTAGTGCCTGATCCCTACAGGGTGAGGGGGCTTGACATCCCGACAAAGCCGGAGGCCCACAGCTTGGGGGAGCCAGCCCTGGAGAGAGGCCTCTGCAGCCCTTTTTGCACCCTGCTAGACGCGTGTTCTGGGAACCCACTTCCACGCCTCGTCTGGCGATCGCTTCTTCCCACCAAGGGAGGCCGGGCCGCACAATTGAAAGGGGGAGGACACGGGTGGGCAGAAGACACCCCCCAGGTGAGTCCCAGTTCACAGGGGCTATGGAGGGGCCACCCCAGGACACGCCAAACACGCAGCGCGGCTCCTGCAAGCATCACAGCGCCGACTCACATTTCTGCCGTTCCGCCAGCGGTCCCCTGCAGCACGCCGAAAGCCCGCAGGAGATTTCTTTGAAATCTATGTGATTGTCCCGGTTTTCATCGAAGGCGTTGAAGAGACCTGCAATGGCCAGCAGCAAAAGGTTGAGGGAAGAAACTGGGCTGGGCTACCACGGGCCCCGTGTGGCCAGCATCGGTCCGTCTCCTGCCTCAGCAAGCCGGGACATCCGTCTAGGGATGCCAGCTTTGGAAAAGCCACAATCTTCACCCCATTTCACAGCGTGGCTTAAGAGCTGGGTTTATTCCCAACATGATCATCAGAACCGCAGGTGAATGAGAAACTTCCCGGGTGGTTGAAGCACACCAGAAAGGGACGAGCCGAGCGCAGAAAGAACGGGCTCATTCCTAGCCCTGATGAGCTGGGATGCAGCCCCCTGAATGTGGCTCTCGTGCCCCACATCCTGGAAGAGTGCCACATTTTTAAGGATGCGATTCCAGCACCCCAACCTCCAAACTCAGTGCCAGCAGAGTGGGGCAGAGGGGCTGCAAAGAGGCATCCCACCCACCTGCCCACTATTAATGTTCGTTTGCCCCAAACGAACGTGGGAAAGGGGCAGATCAATTGAGGGAGCAGGAACAGCCTCGGAAGGGGCGCTGTGCAGTGCTGACGCATTTTAAGGAGCAATCCCTATTCCGGCCTCAACCTGCTTGCTCCAGGCTCCAGCAAAGAGGAGGTAGTTCTCTTGATTCATGGGGACTATGAGGCGAAGCGGAAGACCAGCTTCGTGTACTTTTAATGCTTCGGCTGGCTAATCCGTTCAGTGCCCAGGCACAGCTGCTGAGATGGGGCAGGCGCTAAGTGAGACGCCAAGGGGAAGAGGAATTACAGGCTGGTATCGCCAGCGCCGCCCCCTCCCACAAATACACGTGGAAGGTGGTCGCAACAGCAATGAAGAGACGCGGTGGCTTTTCCATACCTTCGCCCAGAGACAGGTGGATGGGAGGGGAAACCAAGGGGCCAAACGTCTCCAGGTCAAAACGCCCTGTTCTTGACTGGGCTTTCAAGAGCCAGTACCGCTTCTCGAGATCGATGATATCCGATTCTTCCACTGTGCAAACACAAGGAGGTGCAGATGTTAGCCAGCTGAAAACGTGTTTTGAAAGGCTTGATGACGGAGGGGGTTAGCAACCTAAATGCAGCAGCTCTTTTGTGGGAGGGGGGAGAAGAGAGATAGCATTGTGGGGGGGAGGGGGGGAAGCAGCTGCACCACATTCCTGGGCATGAGCTTTGGCAGGCAGGGGCCTACGCGTGCCAGAGGCCCTGGGGCCCGAAAAGGTGGCAGTTCCTCTAAAGGCCCATAGAATGATAAAGAAAGTTCACAAGACGGGAGGTAGAAGACTATTCTTCCTGCTAACATGTGAATGCCAGCCCACACAAATGCATCCACGCGGGTGGTGTACCGAAATACGAACACAGCAACAAGCTAAAGAGAAAATGTTCCCAGGGAACCAAAGGCTGATGCTGACAAGAAATGCTGGAATGTTCAAGCGTGGCAATTTAAACGTTCACAGCATTTTTACTCCACTCCCCAGGCGAAAAAAGGTGATCTGAGTGGCTTACGTGACGATAGGGACAGAAAAGATTGCCTCTGTCTGAAGGGCAGGACACAAATGGAACACAGGACAGGAAAGATGGAGACTTTCAGAGGGACGTGTTTGTGTGCAACACCAGGATCACACATCACGGAGCCAGGAAAATGTCGGCCCTCCAGATGTTTTGGCCTACAACCCCCAGCTTCCCTAGTCAATGTCGTCAGAAGTGAAGGATTATGGGAGCTGCAAGCCAAAACATCTGGATGGCTGCAAGCTGCCCATTCTCGACATAAGCTTCACAGCTGGCCTCTGGAAGCAGAATCCAAACTGTCAACCCAAAGGCTCCTTGTCCCTGGAGCGGCTACTTCGCGTCCTTCTCCCACCCACCGCACCAGCGGGAAGCAAATCTGCTCCGTTAACAGCTGCTTGCATCACCAACTCCCCCCCATGTGATTTGCGGCTCTCGGTGCAACGGCAGCCCTGCAAGGAAGGCACGCTGCAACAGCTCCGTGACAGTCCGGTCAGAAAGCGCCCCTGGCGACCCCCAGAAATCTTTAGAGGGGAAGATCTGCCTCCTCGTGAGAATGCCGCCTCCACCGCACAAGCTTCCCAGAGAAAAGCCGTGACAGCATTTAATGTCTTAATAAAATAGATCTAGCTAGCACCATGCCCCTAACAAAGCAACCGAGCTTCGAAATCCACCACCGGGAAGGTGGATGCAGAAGGCAAGGGAGCTGCCCGGAGGAGAATGCTGGGAGTCGGGCCAGCGGCATTTTCACCATTAAGTCTCTGCGAAAGTTACAGCCGTGCTCGAGATTGGTGAACATTAAGCGGTTCGCGACGATCTTGTAACAAAGCCGCCTATATTTAGCTTCGCCATGTGTGATCTCATTCCCAGATGGTCCTGAGCCCTTAAACCCGTGCCAGCTTTTTAACAGGATTAGACTTCAGCTCTTTGGGCTGGTTACCAAGAAGGAACAAAAAGCAGAGACGTTGGTGGAGAAGTCAGGAGCGAGGCTGCCCACGCCTGGACATGGTGCGGTGGACCAACGAAGGCCCAGACCGGGCAGCCAATCCGCAGGCACGGGTGGTCATACAGGCCAAACTGTAATCATATACAAAAAGACATGCGTCTGTCTGTCTGTCCGTCCAGCAGTGCCACAGCACTACGAATGTGCTGATCCCTGAAAGATGGACCTTATGAATGGGGCCCTGCAGGTGTACATCCCAGGTTTATTTGGTTTTTAAAACTTATCAACTGATCAGTCTAAATGTGTCTGAGGCTCGTAGTAACGTCTCCAGCCATTAGGGGGAGCTAGCCCTAAGTGGTCCTTAGCTTTGTAGCTGAAATACTGTGGAGCCAGGGGGCAGCAACAGCTACAGATCAAGGGACAGAATTAGAGGCTGGCCTCTTGATGTGGGGCAGCCTCCCGGTGGCTTTCCCCCATCTTCACGCTGCACCGATCCTCGACTGGCAAGTGACTGGACGCTGCAGCGTTCTGAGCTGGACTATTTCATGAAACTGCTGGGCAAGGTCTCTAGCAGGTTTTCTAATGCACGAGAGATGGGCTTCGATTTTACTGAGCTCTCAATTTAAAAGCCTACATATCGCTCTCTTTTTTAACCAATTGTTTTGACAGCTGATATTTAGGAGGCAATAAACGCCTTCATTCCACCCTCGTTTGTCAAGCACACAGCAAAATTATCCTCTTGTCGGAAGAAGCAGGGAAAGCCGAGGCTGATCTGGGAAGATACTGTGCATTTTAAAAGAGTAATAACACCTTTAATAATTTTAATAATTAGTATTTTACACAATAATGCTTCCATCTTGGCACAGAAAGACGATTATAAAAATAATCGTGACAATTAGATAAAGCAACTAAAGGCATTTTGAGATTTAAAAGTTAAGGGAAAGATTCCATGTTTTAGTGGGCTGTATTTCACTCAACATTGGATGCAAGGTTTCCAAGGAGTTATCTTAATTGCTTGAGTCAATATAACCTTTGGGGGTGGGAAGGTTGGATGTTTTATCTGCACTTCTGTCAAGTACAGATTGGAAAAAGCAAGGTCAAAGAAACTGAGCGTTTTCAAGCCATCCTCTTTAGAAGAATTACTAATACAACGAGGATGATGGCCAATTAGTAGAATGATGGCCAAACAGTTGGGTGCATTGACCAGTCTCAAATCTCGCAAGCAAGATTAGCCGCTTTCTGTAAAGGAAAAAGCTGCAGCTAAGTGGAAAAGAGCACTTGCCGTGGAAGTCTATCCATCAATTCCTTTCATATCCAAGCTATCGATCGTGAAGTAAGCAAAATGTCTATTTGATCAGCTCCAGCCAATGGCTGGGCCCTTTCCAAAGATCGGGTTTTCAAATACTACACTTAAGCTGCAACCCAATGCGTTTTTAGATGAAAAAGGGCTATAATTCTCAGGATGGGAGATGGGGGCATGATGGGAGACGCGGGGCGTTTTCTCTCGCCTTGAATACCCCAAGGGGTTGCCCGTTTAAGGCCTCTGGGCTGTGCATACCACAAAGACTTGGCCACAGGGAAGGTCTCAAAAAGACATACAAGCAGCCCCGAAAAGTACCCAGAGCTTTAATCGCTGAGCAGAAATATACCAAGCTCACACAGAATCCTGCAAGCTTCATGTTATGTCTCCAACAGTCCTCAAATGCCGGCCGGCATAGCTCCACTCAGAGCAACAGATGCCCACCTGCTTTCTGTCTCTTGGGAGCTCAGGGCTCCGTACCCGAGAATCTCTGCCCCTTGAGTCCTCCGCTGAGGCCGGAGGGGCCGGGGAGAGGAGGAAGGCCTGGCTACCACTTCGGGCTACAACGCTTCCTCCTCCTTCGCATGCTGTGTCCCTTTTAGCCAGTAGGAAAAAGTTGCTCCTGCTCATCCAAAATGTGAGCCATTTTGGATGAGCAGGAGCACGGAATACTTGAAAGAAGGAAAGCGAGTGAACGAACGAGCGAGCGAGCGAGCAAGGCACCTCACCCTATTCAGCAAAAAGCAAAATGAGAAGTTAAAACGGCTGGCAACACCCCGGTGCACAAGGAACCTTGCGATCCTTCGCAGCGACATGGTGAGACTCAACAAGAAAATGGCAACAGGGAGAGGTGTGGTGTGCAGGTGACCGACTGAATTATGCAAACAACCGAAATTCTAGGGCCATGTTGCCCGCCCCACAGGTCCAGCGTGCTCCAAAGCTGCTCCCTTAGGTATCCTTGCAAGGCAGAGAAAATCCACTCAGTGAAACAAGGAAGGTGAAATGGGATCCTGAGTAACCAGGCACAAGCACCTGCGTCTGTCAAAATCGATGGGCCAGCAGGGGTGGGTGGCTGCTTTCAAAGCTCAGCCCTAAAACCCTTCCTCGTGGGCTCGAGTGGGACTTGTGTCCTGCCAGGGTTGGGACACAGCCTCAGTCCACCTCCAGGAGCACCCCTGGTCAGACCTCCTTGCACCTACAGCCATTCTTTGCAGAGGTAATGCATAGTAATTCACTATTAGGGTGGGATAGAAGGAAGGACGATTCACCAGCCGATCCTCCGACAGCTGCCAACGAAATGAGCAAAACTGAATGAAACGTTCCAGGATGTTTTCTATGAAGAGCTTTTCCTTGCCCAGATTAAAGATGATGCTATTAAAGCCTCACTACAGGACTCCAAGCTGGCCCAACTTTTTGTGCTCTCCTTCGTACGCAACAGGATTAAAAGAGAAGATGCTGAGTCCAAACAAATATTCTGTTAAGCCAATAACCTACATAGCAGAGATTAAGATCGAAGCTGAACATTTCCGGAAGGGGCAATCAAACCCCTCTATTTAGGCACCCACATTTTTTTACCTAGTTTAATCCCAGTGGTGCTGAGCAGATGACAGGAAGTGCCTGTGCGTCGGAGCAGCCACAATAAAAATGAGCCACGCGTTCCATCGCTCGCGTTGCCTCCCTTTCTGCCATTTCTCTCCTGCTTTTCCCCCCGAGATCCTCCCACGGCCCCTCCGTTCCCAAATCACAGGAATTCCAACCCGCTGCCTCCGCTCCCCCCCGCCCGAGACTCTCTGCCCTCCGACCCCCATTCGGAGGACTTACCCACCTAATGGGGCAACTCTCCTAGGTTCACAGCAGCAACAGCATACCATATTCTCGTCATCTCAGCTCCGGCCAGCTTGCACCGACACGGCCCCGCTCTCAGCCAAGCCCGCCGCCCGCCCGCAAGGACCCCCCGCCTCGCCAGACAGGGCGCCCGTCAGCCACAGGGTGGGCCGGGGGTCTCCCCTGGAGCACACGCACATGGCCATTTGTCCACCTTCGGAGCAACAGCTTGTCAAAGGCTCCGCGCCAGCGAGATCTGGTTAAGGTGACACAGCATGACCCAGGAGATAAGAGGATAAGGAGGTGGAGAGATGGAAATTAGACCTCGCTAGGAGGGATCTGCTTCATGGCCGGGAGCTTCCCGGAATACTTTCATCTTTCTTTTCCACTCTCAAGTGAAAGCATCAACAGGAAGGGGTCT